CGTAGTATGTTAATAGCGCGTACGATTTACTCGCGACGGGTTATTTATCTCGATAGGCGTTAATTAGTGAGCAGCCTAACTAACTAACTGTATTTATTACGTAAAAGCTGCTTCCCTCGCAGGCCCCCGACGACATCTTGCGACCAAAGCGACCGCCACGACTATTTATTAATTGCTCCACAAGACTTTCTTCTCACAGACGGTCAGATTCGCTTTTTTATTCCTACGAAGTAAGCCCGTCCATTCATGGACTAGATTCGACGACTAGTTTAATTTTTGCACACATTTTTTAATCAAATTTAATATAAATCAATTACATCTAAATTTCTTACTTCTTACTTATTATCCAATGTAACGTTCGCTTAAATTAATTCAGCGTGTACTCCCACACGATGGCTTCTTTGGCACGATTCTTCGCGGCCAACCGATCATTTGTAATCTCGTTCATTCAACGGAGCAGAGCGCGATTCTTTGTTTTCTTTCTCTTCGGCTTTTTCTTCAGCGACGACGCTGGTTCTTGATCCGTGGGCGGCCTCCAAGACTGTTGACCCCATCAAGTGGAAAGGTGTGGGTGAGGTGGGCGCGTTGCTCCTCGGCGTGAAAAACCGACGAGGCCGCGCTTATCTTCGGAAATAAAAAGCCGCCGACGATGACGACGGCGCCCGTTTTCTTCGACTTCGCACCTTGGCGCTTAACGCCTCTGCACGGCCTTCCGGCAATGCTCTTCGGCTTTCGGAAGCGGCCGATCCAGAGCCCCCAGTGCGAATATGCTACATTCTTTAGGTTCTTTACGCCCTTCCTAACTAACCATTTAAGTTGGGACAGGTGTGGTAGTAAAAAAGGGAACGTTAGAAATGACCCACCGCAGTGTTTTCATTCATAAAAGAAACAGGAATTTACAGGTTAATATACCAAATGTTTCCTATTCTACACTGTCTACTTAGTTTCAATTACCACCGCATTCAAAGATTTTGTCTGATTGTGAGTGGTATATCATTTATGTACTTTCTCTTTTATGTGCATAGAGCTTTCTAAATTCGCATCTTAAGTTGCACCTAAAAAATATTATTTCCGTAATATGTAGGAAGAAATGTATGTCGAATTGCAAAATATTTCCATACGAAATCACTTTATGTCTGTTGCTTGACATACGACGTGATGCCAAATGCGAAATTTAAATTAACCACAGGCGCCAGAGCAATGTCCCGCTTACAAATAGCCCTCTGGCGCCTATTCGGCAATTTTACTCAATGCGGTCTCCATCAACGACGTTGTTCTTCAAAAATAAATTGAACACAATACGTCCACCGACAAAACATCAATTGTATTCACCAAGCTGTATTATATCCACACGTCCAGTATACCAAACAGAACAGTATATGTAGGCGTTTTATACCAAAATACAAATTAACCAATTTGAAAATTTTACTTGAATCACTTTTCATTTGAACGTGTCGAAAAAACTGCAATTGAAGATTTACACAATGGAAACTGTATAAATACTTACAGTTAATCTGCTAATCCAAAATCTTTCTTCAATTTCGTAAATACACTGCAAGTTTGCTGTCTCACCTCTGTGTTGCGCTCTTTTGTTCCAAAAGCGCTTTTCTGCTCAGTTAATACGGATCTCGTTGCGACTGTGCACTAGCATTTCTGTTTGTTTCCCAATTTTTATTCCCAAAATAACCGTCAAAATTACAGTACAATAATAACCAAAAAAATTTCAGCTTTAATAGTTTTGGTTGAAATTCCATTCCAAGACCTATTCTGGATAGGCCTTGGATTACCTCTAGGAATATTTTGATAAAAAAAAAGTCACAAAATAAGTTTATTCCTTCTTTTGCAATGTCCATAAAGCAGAAAAATCGAATTTATTTGCCGCTCAGTATCCATGTTATAAAACTTAGTAAGATATTAATACATTTTTTAATATCCGTTTTATCCAGGCACACAAAAAACCATTTAAAAACATATGTATCTCATTAAACGCTACGATAACCTCCTCTAATGAGACTACTACATAATCGATATGACTTTGTATCGTTAATTTACTAATTTCTAAACATTAAAGATTACTTCAAAGTTAACCATCCTATAAATAATCGTTACGTTCATTTTTATGTCACACGCTTTGAGACGATCTGTTCAATTAAAAGAATTTATACGCGAATTTGCGAGGACTGAAATATGTTGTCATCAAGAATTATTTATCTTCTCCATTCGTTCGGGTGGGTCACTTTAGCAAACAATTTTTAGATATCTAGTAGTAGATTTTCGCGAAAATACGACCGTCTCGAAACGACATCGGCGCGATCTGATCGCGACCATCGTTATTATAAATGAGTCTGAGCCTCCGACATGGCGTGTCTTTGTCGGTTTGCCAAAAGATTTTTATTAGACGAGAGCTTTTTGCAATCGTTTTTTTTTCACGACTGAACCTTGTTGTAGTAGAGAATGTTAAATATACGTTTATTTAACATTTTTGTTTTTATTACTTCAACATCCTTGTCGTCTGGGTATGTTTGGACAAAATTATAAGTGACTTTAAAATAGCCAAATAAAAAAAATTTTTATAGAATTATATAGATATGTAGATTCTTTTTTTTAGCATCATCGCCACTAATATCCATCCGGGTCATATTTGTCATAATGCGAATTTTCCACACTCCATCGCGTCCTGCATCCGAATCATTCTCATATCTTTAATCTCCGCCAAATTAACCATTCTAAGCGCTTCTCTTGCTTAAATCATAAATGCCTACCGCAAATATTCACGTCATAGTCACTTGTTAGATATTATCTAAGCGTAATATGGATGAATAACAAGTGATTTTGAACGCATGAGCCGCCGCACGCTTTCACTACGTTTAATTGTGGAAAATCCGCTTTGCTTACTGGGAAATCGGATTAGTAAGAAGCACGTAGTCAGACGGAACTTTTTTCTATTATGAACCATCACGTAATGTTTTTAAACATTGATAACTATTTTTGTTTAATAATGATAATTGTTTAACTGGTTTTGCTTTGACGACGGACATCAAACGCAATAAGAGTTGACATAATAGCCTATGGGTGCCCGGGTCGATCCTAATCCCGATGTTGGCGTTCGCGTCACGTCCTTTTTCACAGTTTGAATGCGCCACATACCTCGTGACAAAGAGAGCGGTCGGGAGGATATGGCGCGGCCTTTGTCGAGTCCCTAATTTATGGTAATGATACCTGGAAGCGGGATTTGTCATATAGTATACCGGACAGAGTTGGGCGAATAAAAGGACCGAGGAGATCTCGCACGTCAACTGTTAAATTGAAAAATGTTATTATTAAACGATTTGTCCGGGTCCGGGCTTTGTGGTCCCTTCTCTGTGGCAGTATAATGATTAATGCCGCTGTCCTTCGAGGTGTAGGCACCATTAAAAGTTGCGCGCCACCCGCTGCGACGACTCCTTTAGCGATCCGGTGCCAAAATGATTCGATAGGGTTGTCCGCTATTACTAGTTGAGAGAAGATTCCTTTCATTCGATTAACACTTTTTTATTAGACAATAGAAAATTTAGATTTCTTTTTGTAAAAACTTTGGATAATAATGAAAACACTCCGAATCACAATTTAACATCAATAAGAAACCATACGTCGACGAATCGTTGAAAAGCTTTAATGTCGAAGCACTTAATATTCCTGTACCGACAATCCTCGTGACGTGATCATAAATTTTGGTACGGCGGCCGTAACCTTAGGGGGCTCGTATATCTATCCCCGCACGGACTTAGCTAATTTAATATTCAATTAAAAAGGCATTCCGACGTCTATTGCTGCTGACCTTGTAGGGTAGTGGGACTCATTCATAAATAACGATCCGATGCGCGTCTCTCCAATAGATATAAGAACCAAGCGTAGGCCTACGGCTTCAGGCTCTCCGTTCGTTATTGAAGGGTCCTAATGGATCGCTGGTTAATTGAAAAATTGCAAATCCCCTTCGGTCCTATGATTAAACTTTGTCTCTATACTGATACCCAATAAGTCTTTTGTTAAGCTAAAAACAAAATATAAGAAGGATAATTTACTTGTATTAATAATAAATAAATACTTTATAATGTTCATGGTTAAAATAATTATGAGATGCTCAAATTATACGTTGGGCTTGAAAATCTACAAAGAGGTGGTTTTGATGACAAACACTGGCAGAATGAAAACTTTGGAAATTTGGAACAAAACATTAACACAACATCGAATGAAAATCAACAAGCACAAAACCAAGGTGTTGTGGTATAGGAAAAAGTTAGAACAGGTTACACCATTTCAATATCTACGAGTGGCAATACGGTGTAATGCAAAAATTAAATAGATATTAATTATACAATTGAGAAAGCACTAAAAATTTACCATGGCATGAACTTTAACTTTTTGGTCAAAACAGAAATATCACGGAAATGAAAAATCAATCATGGGTGTTAACAAGACAGAAGAAAAGCAAAACACAAGAGACTGAACTACGAAAGAACTTAGAATGAGAAGCATAGGTATAAGACAAGAATTAGGAGTTGAATCTATACTAGACCTCATTGAGAAAAAACAGCTAAGCTGATGGAGCCACGTACAAAGAATGAATAGAAATGGACCGACAATTTTAGGAAGCCAGAGAGTCAGTTTAAAAGTAAGCCGAGGTTGTTCGCGGCCGAGACGCTACAGTTGATACCACACCATGCACTTCTCCGGAAAAGACCACGACAGACATGAGACAAAGTCATGAGAGAAGCGTTAGAAAAAAGAGGAATAAATTGGACGGAAGCTAGAATATTAACAAAAGAAAAGCAAACTTGAGGCAGAATAGGACAAACCGTTGTGTGACGTACAAGGGGGAATACAGGCTTGAGTTTGTTTTACTCAAGTCATGCGAATTAATTTTAGGAAAACTGCAATAATGGCAGAGAACAAGAGGCTCAATTTAATGAGACCCATTTTTGTATCTTTTGACATTACACATGACAACAACTAGACGTCATTATACATAACAAAGTTAAAATGGAATGCAAATGTGTTGTACCATGTTCAAAAAGTGAATTTTCTTTTGATAGATCTGAAAAATCTGAAGAAATATCTGCGGAGTGTAATACATTTGATTTTGGTTCAGTTCGACTAGGTGAAAACGTTAAGAAAGTTTTTGTAATTAAAAACGATACAAATGTAAGTTTTATTATTTATCAGAAAAATTATTTTTGATGAGATGAAATTTGTTCAGGATGAATTGGTATATATGGTCACTAGAGATCCTGATTCAAATGAGATTTATCAAGCGTACGATTTTCATTACCAACGTACTGTTCCAAAAAATTCCCTTTTCAAATGCATTATTTGGTATAAACCTAACACGGAAAATTGGTATAATTTCGACTCGTTGTATATTCAGGATCATAACGGAAAACATTATAAGTTGATTTTGAAAGGGTTCTGTGTTGGAGCTTCAGTTCATATGTCTTCCAACGAATTGAAATTCGTTATAAATAATTCTGAACCAGTCCTCACGAAAACCATTGAACTACAAAACAAAGGAACAATTCCGGCTAAGTTTAAATTTGATGTAAAACACCAAACTTTGGGTTGTTTTAAAATTGATATCACCCATGGTGTGATTGAAGTTAGACAACAAATTTATGTAAAAATTACATTTGAACCGAAAGAGTATGGCGAATATTTATACGATTTATATCTTTTAGTTTTATATTCGGTAAATGAAATTAAAAAAAAAGAATTTTAAATTCAATTTTTATTATTTTTAGAAACCACGAAGAATTTCATTGATTGGTTATTATACAAAAGAACCAGTTGAAAACGAAGAAGACCTCGTGTTCAAAATGTATTATCTCCCGGTGAGTTGTAAAACCGGCTTCTCTGGTTATTTAAACGACGTGGTAGATATCTGCGAAATGCCACCTCTATTTTCATTAACCGATACCAGTTTGGATTTTGGAGGGATGGAAATTAATACGCAAAATCCGTCATCAGTCCGAACGCTTGTCACCTCTTTAACCAACAACATTAATTACAACTCAATCACTGTTTATTGGGATGATGACCCAAGAAAAATCTTCGATATTAATCCACATTTGGTAACAATTCCACCGAACAACTCAGTTTTACTCGAGTGTTCATTTAAACCGGATGTGCCCGATCGATTTTATGATCATATAATGACCGGACGAGTATTTTGGAGCTATGAACAAGATGATAAACACGATGTTATTGTCCCGGTGTGTATTTATCTGCGTGTGATGGGCTCAAGCTTTCCAATAAATAAATGTTGGATACCTCAAACTAGTTATCCTAAAAAAGTTACAATTAAACCAACGTATCCAAACAGTTTAAGTTATGGAACATTTAAAATAAAAATAATGGGGAATTTACCGGTTTCCTATCGATTTGTACCACCTAAAAATTCAAGGTACACATTAAAACCATCTCAAGGTGTTATTTTAAACGAAGATATAATTACAATACAATTCTCTTCGGTGGATTTATACGATAAAGAATGCGTGGAAAGATGGTCGATTATTTTAAACGGTCGTGATGATCAATGTAATTTTATAATATTTTCGTGTTACGCAGAATATCCAAAGCTTTTATTGAACAAAGATAACACGATAGTATTTGAAAACATTCTTCCTGGTTGTTACGATGTGAAACCGGTTGTTATAAAGAATATTTCGACCCATTACACCATGTAATATTAATTGAATTAATTATTTCATTTAGTTATTAAAAATTCATTTTATTTTCAAGGTATCGGTTGAAAATCCCAAACGTAAATTTTTTGCGTTTCAATAAAACTGAAGGAATACTCATTGCTAATGAAGAAACAACATTAGAATGTAAAGGAAGTTGTTTACCTAGCGGAGCTTGCCATTCAGAATTTATAATGGAATTGAGTCGATATGGAGTTAGTGGAAAACCAGATGCGCCAGTTCAGATACCCGTTCGAGTCACAATTAAATGTATTTACGCCGAATTATGTGCTATACCAAGCGTTATAGATTTAGGCACAGTTCGTGTCGGGCAAAAAATGACGTCAGAATTTGATATCTTTAATTTCGGTGAAGCAAAAATACATAGTTTATTGGTTGTGTATCCGGATGAGTCTGAACGATTAGGAAAATACATAACATTTACACCGAAATTGAACGAGGTGGCACCCGGAGAACATAAAAACGTTGTAAGCACCATCACTTGTAATGAAAGTGGCGAATTTGCGTTTAATATTTGCTATAAAGTGAGAATTCACGAGAATTCAATGGAAATGCTTGAATTGAAACCAAAATTATTAATTAAAATCGTTGTTTCAGCTGAATATCCATCTTTACAAGTAAAACAATTCTTTTTTATTTTCTCTTTTAACCCTTATAATACCAGACTTTTACTTAATAATAATAATAATAGAATACATTAATTAAAATAACGTCCGGTTTTTGCCAAAACCATTCCTTAAATAATACAAAATAATAATACAGTAATAATACAGTGTGTCCGTAAAGTCATGGTGCACTTTTGACCGGTCACAAGAACGCAGCAAAGTAAGATAGGAATGTCAAATCTTTACCAAATACGAAGAAAACTCATCAAGTTTTCGTAGTATGATATGCAAGGTTGTTCGCACACAGGTGATGACGCAATACCACGAACTGCGCAGCAATGCATCAGATGTGGAACGTACAAAGAAATACAGTTCATACACCTGCAAACAGATTGAGCAACAATCGCTGTTTTGCGAAAATTGGAGTTTTCTTTTTATTTGGTGAAGACTTCACATTTCTATTTTGCTTCGTTGTTGTGCTGTGATCGGTTAAAAGTGTACCACAACTTTACAGACACACGAATTTTTTAAATTTGGGGACCCTATGGTATTATAAGGGTTAACTAGCAAAAAAAATAAATATTATTATTTTATTTTAGATCGTTTCAATATCTGATTATACTCATGGTGAATGTTTTAGTAAAACAATGCTATGGAAAATGTTAAACATTACAAAGTAAATTTACCTCCATTTTAATCTATTTTTCTAACAACAAATATTAATCTTAGGTTCAACAAGGATGTGAAAGAATTGAAAATGGGAGAAACGCAATCGATTGAAATGTGTCTTCCGGATTGTGAAGTTTCAGACGAACCATTTTCCGTAACATTAATTATACAAAACACGACACTTTTCGATTTAAAAGTCGACTTCAAAAGAAACCAATTGTGCGATTGCCCAATCGTTAAAGTAGATAAATCATTTTCTTTACGAAAAACAGTGTATAATTGTCCGCACAGACTTTTATTAGAAGCCAAGTTGTCGGGAAACGTTTTTCAGGTAATCAACAAAAACAAATTATAATTAACAATATTAACAAATTATTTTCGACTGACTTTATAAGACTGACGACACCCAAACTTTAAAAATTACAGTACATTATAACTATGCGGATAACGTTACTATGTCCTACATTTTAAGTTTATCTGAAGAAAGAACGTTGATAATTTATTTTTCATTTAAAATTTTACCTTTGGATATTGATAAACCATCCAAATACGATAATGGTAACATAATATTATTACCACCTGTGGCTTTAAATGAAAAGGAACCAGCTTGTTTTGTAAGTACAATGCGTTTATTTTTAAACGAATTAATTTTAATTCAAAATTTAGGCTTTTCAATTTTATAATCAATCTTCAAATACAGTAACAGTAGGTTTAGATGAATCCCACCTGGATCAATCACTTTACGATCGAGGATTACCAATAATTCGATGCCTAAATGCGGAAGTCGCTACACTAAACCCTAATAAACTATACTGTTTATTTTTCCAATTCCACCCTATTGCATTTAAAAAATACAACGTATTTATATTTTCTAATCGTTCAAATATAAAATTTTAATGTAGCTTATTTCATTTCTAGATATTAATAAAATTATTAATGGGGCATAAAGAGGAACTAGAACATAAATTAACAATTCAGTCATCTGGAAGTAACCAAATCGAATCAAACCCTAGTACGCATGAAATTTGTGCTTCAAAAAGCATATTTTTTGAACCGGATATTAGTTTTACGACCGATTATATTAAAGTAAATCGATTATTAACTTGGAGTTGTACTGAAATTCTTCTTTTTATGAAAAATAATACTGATGATGTTATTGGGTATTCAATGAAAAGGTAAAATCTAAGCGTGCAGCATAAAAATTCAATTAACTATGAAAGACAATCAAAAAAAGAAGTTGTATTACAAACCACGAATTCTTAATACCACCTTAGGACTGCATTCATCATCGCATGAATCAATCGCAAATAGATGCTAAATAGTGAAAGTGTAGGTGAAAAAATAATAAATTACTTTCTACCGATTTCTGAAAAAAGTTATAACATGGCATCCAAAACATCAAACATTATTTAAAAAAACGCAAAAAGAGAATAGAAGAATTAGAGAAATCAAGAGTACAACGTATAAATATACACAGATTTTAACTTTCATACCAAATTTTTGCAAAGGTTTTAATGAACTAGATTTTCTTGGTTGATAAACTTTTAAAACCAATATAGATACGTTTGCTAAAAACACTTTAAAGCGAAACTAAATAATAATACAAAAATTATTAATTCTTTTTTGATTTTTATATAGAAATTGGATTGAAGGAATGATGGAAGTACGAGCACTTGCCCCGAAAGGAATTTTAAACTCCAACGAAGTCACAACGATTGTAATTTACGTTGAAACATATGATATGCCATTAAAAACTACTATGAATTTTATCGGAAAATTTTTAAATCACACCAAATATTTTCGACACAAAAAAACTATGATTCAATATAACATTAAAGAAGAAATTGTAAAAGAACAATTTACAATAACTGAAAAAGGGGAAGAATACGCGGTAGAAATGTTATAAATTTTTTCTATTATTTTTTTAAAATATTTTTGTTTCAAGGAAAACGATATCGTAATAGCACCACTTCCAAAAAACTTTTATCGAACTATATCTCTTGGTTTAAGCAGTGTAAGCATTTTCGATATTGATTTACACATGGACGCTGAGGAACAATTACAGCAATCACCTCATGATTTTTTGGAAATAAACGAAGAAAGAGCTGTAGCTTCTTTGTACTCAAATGAAAAACAATTACCACCTGTACCTGCTCTTGCTAAAGCACCGTTGCAACAAATTGATGGTAAAGGAGATTCAGCAACTGTGTCTTCACAAAATAAAGAAGATAGCGAACCTTTTCTAGATATTGATTTTTTTAAAGATATCATGGAATGTCTAATATTGTAACTACTTATATAAAAACTAAAGTATGTGTTAACAAGCCTTAATTTTAGTACTGCAATGGAAAGTAAAATATTTAAAAGATCATTGGAAACGCAACAATATAGTGATCCTCCTTTTTATATTCAATTTCAAGTTGATGATGATGTTCATTTCTCACAAGTGGATTCAACAAAAGTAGCAACAGTAAAAAAGGGTTTAAATCCTTGTCAAGGACCCATTGTTGCAACAACACTCAGAAATGTATTACTTAATGGTTTACATCAAAATATGAACTTGGGAACACCACCTGGACAAAGAAAAGAAAAGGGATATGTTTATGATAAAAGATTTAAAAATCAATTTACCAAATAATTAAGATTTTTTTATACTTATATTTATTAAAATTCTTTTTTATGAATCCACTCTTCTCCTGAAAACAGCCAAAAATTTATCTCCGTTATTCCTTGTTACTTTTTGGCCCTCTTCGGTGGTATCAAAAAGTTTATCAACAATCGGATCATTTTCCTAAAATAAAACAGCTTTCAAATATCACAAAAAAATATGAAATTTGTGTAAAAATACCAAATCACACTTTTCAACCCTTAAAAACAAAGGATGCTCTTCAAAATGTTTTACAATCCATTCATGTAATTCTTTAACATCCGTAACTGTATAAATTAATCCATCAATAGCTAAAACGTAAGCATAAACATCTAAAAGTTGTTTGCTAATAATTCTCCATTTATGTTTAGCTTTTTTAAAATGAGGATCTGGATATAAGAAAAAAATTTTAGTCAACTAAAAAGAAAAAAATCAGTACAAGAATTATTTTTTAAAATAAATAACAAAACCTGTGCTTTATTAAAATAATTAACCAAGTATTTCATAGCATTCGTCCTAAGACAAGCGATATTTTCATATTCATCTCTAAATTGAGACCTTAACGCTTTAATTCTATCCATAACATAATCAGAAACTTTGACTCTTATTTCCATCCCCAACGATAATGTTTCTGGATACATCTTTGATAGGGCAAGCAATAAACCTCCATAACCACATCCAACATCAGCAAATTTAACAACATTGGTGTCCTTTGAATATTTAGGATAAAGTTTCTCCCATTCCATATGATCCGGTGTTAAAGGGCTTAAAAGAAATATGTTATTTAAAAAAAAATCGTTTTTTAATACATACTAGTCTATACAATGATCTGCGATTGGATTTGAATGAGCTCGTTGCCGATAATACCGTTTTTGGGGTAACGAAATAACGTCATTTTCTTGTATTTCTTCCTTATTTTCATTTAATTCGCTCATTTTTTAACCTAACCTCAAAGAGATAACCTCAAAAAAATGATCATGTAAATTGGAAACGTTCATAATTTTTTTGATAATTAATAATTTTATTAATTACACTTATAAAAAACTCAAAAATGACTTTAGGAGACTTAACTTGCAAGTATGATCGAACAGAAAAAATAATTATCGAAAAAGTCGTTTGATATTTTGTAATGTAAAGTAGCGATTTGAATTTCCCGCCTAATCTACAGTCCTAACAAAAAATTCGTTCAGATATTTCGAAAGATCATTAAAAAAGTAATTGTGTCAAAAATAATTTTTTAATTTACAAAGTGTTATTCTTAATGATTCACGGCGATTTATTGAGATTACACGGTTTTTTAAGGTAACTCAATTGCTCTATTGGCAAGAGACGCCGTAGTTGTCGGTTTAGTAAATTGCAGTTGGTTCGTATCTGTGCTACGAATGTTTTCATGTGAACGTGACGCTGACCTTCCAGGTTAAGCCGTGAACATTTTTCAACATTCCCCAAAACCTGTACGTATACATTTGTAACAAACATAGTTTTTTAAAACTAAAATTATCGTCGTCATATCGAAAAAATCACAATTCAAAGTTTTTCTTAAGTGAAAATCGGTATTTTAGGTAACCCGCCATTTTGACCAATACGCATTCTGTGGCGTTTGTCTGTGCTTATATTTTTGCTTGTCTTTATTTCCTGACTAAATTCGTTTTGAAAATGAAGAAGAAATAGTTTCTTTTGGCGCTTAAAAGTGATGAAAACTTAATGAAATATTTCAAATTCCATTTTTGTTTTAATATTATCATTATCTTAATTAAATACGCTTTCGCCGCTAGAAAGTTGTTGTTGATACTTAAGCCCATCACATTCTATCCTAACCTTACTTTTCCTTTGATATTATTTAAAGGTAAAAACGATGGTTGAAGAAGAAAAACCTCAACAACTCGACCCTTTGGAGGATGTTAAAGAACAAGACATTTCAAAAGGTATTTGTTATATTTAAATTTAATTTGTCAATCTAAATCATTATGAATTTGTCATTTACTTTAGCAAAAGAAGAGTTATCTAAATTAGATGTTTTGGTTTGTGGTGAATGCCACGAAATTTTCCACTTTGTAGAAGAATTTTCTGAACATCGTAAAAGTGAAAAATGCTCAAAGGATTCAACTTTAATTGAAAACATCCAAAATGATAAGCATATTCAAATTTGGGGGTTCATGTTGTGGAAAAATTCTAAATTTAAAACTCTCGATCCGGATGAAAAATCTCCTCCATCATCTTGGAATGTTTATCAGCTTTGGTGTAATTTAGAAACACCACAAAAGGAAACTTGGATCGCTGCTGGTAAATCTTTGCAAAATCTACATGGAATTTGGTCTAATAAAAATATTGGGAAGCAAAAAAAAATTAAAAATTTAATGAAGGATGATGAAGATGATTCTGAAAGTAATTTCATTTTTATTAATACAAGGTGTGGCAAAGAAACTTCCTTTTAACATAAATTCAATAACATGCATTCAGTGGTTGTGGTCCAATCAATAAATGTGATGACCATTATTAAACAACATACATTTAAAATAAAGGAAGTTTTTTTGCTGTCCCACCATATAATTAATTAAATGTTTAGAGGAAAAGTGAATATGATAATATACTTTTTTGAATATTATAGGGACTGAAAATGAACATGATCCTTTGGGTGATACTGAATCAGACATGGAATTAGATGAATCAGTTGGAAAAGGGAAGATAAAAGAGACCAAAGTTGAAAATGGGGAACTCCAAAAAGTTTCAAAACCCATTATTTTAAATAAAGACGCTGGTTCTGTAAATTTGAATAAACCACTTGGTTGCAAACTTTTTATTTACTTTAATTTGTACTTTTAGGGCACTCAAAGAGCGCTGAGAACTGAAACTAATAAGAAGGTAGAAAGAAATGTTGAGAAAATAGTTTCAAAGAGATACAACCCAGGAAAGAAAACTCATGAATATTTTATTAAATGGGAATCATTGCTTGAGTAAGTTAATTTATTCATAACCACATCAATTTAATTCCTAATTAATCCTTCAATTAATTTAAGGGATCAAAATACTTGGGAACCTGTTGCTCATCTCACAAAATGCAAAGTTCTAGTGGATGAATTCGACCGTAATCTTGCTGAATTGAAAGCTGCCAAATTGCCAAAAGGTTCAATGGTGCAACGCAGACCTTACCGAAAACAGCTACCTGAAAGAACACCAGAATTGATTTTAGAAAGTACTGGACCAGGGTTAGATAACCAAACTTTTAATGCAACCAATCATATCTTCTAATATTTTTTATTTTAACCAATTAGGAGGCCACAAAGAACTTGTAAACAAAAAGCTTTAAACCAAGTAAAAGCATGGTGCGGAAACATATCTGATGTTGATGAAGGCGGCATAAAACGAGCGTTTAGCGACTCCGATTCAGATTCGTTTGAGAAGAAAATTAAGCTTGAAGATGAAAGTACCGACTCTGAAGATGACCATCGCCCTATAACCGTACGAAAAGTGTTAAAATCTTCCATTAACGGAATTGGAACAAAAAAACCGCTCCCAAGCAACATTTTGGTGCCAGATGCGCAAGGTGTGGTGAGGATTGATCAAAAACAACTCCCCGCTTTGAGTTCGGGAGTTTACGTAATGTCAAAAACGGCAGGAATCATCAAATTGGACTCAAACACATCGAAAATTGCAACGAGCGGTGGCCACGCAGTTATAAAGGTTGCCCCAAAAATAGGGCAAACGAGTATTAAGGTTGTTAAAAGAGATCCATCAAATGGGTCAAGACCGACGTTTTTAAATACGAAATTTAAACCGGGCGTTAAACCTTTGGGGGCTAAAGTTATTGCGCACAGAAAACCCGCGACTATTACGACGGTTGTTAAAAAACCGGATAATGTTGCTAAATTTGAAACGAAAGCATCCGAAGATGAATCTGATGGTTTGGAAGAATTACCATTCCCGACGGATCTCCCACTTCCAGAACCAGAAAGCCCACCGGGCGAATTCACTTTATGTCCATTGACAGGGAAAATTGTTGGGAAAGAATACACGGCGGATGAAACCCAAAAAAAATCCGAAGAACAAGAAAATCCCACCGAATCTTTGGATAATTTGGTTAATTTAGCGGCAGCGGATATATTAAATGACCCAACGGAAAAAATTGAGCAAGATGAAAAAATGGTGGAAGAAAAAACTCGTTCTATAGAAGAAACTTTAAGTGCAATGCATGGAGACGATGACATCACAGCATCGGCCACGACGTCATCGATTTTAAGTACAGCTATTTCAAACGCTGATATAGAAAATACTCCAAATCCAGCGTCTCAATCGACGCCGATTACTCATAAGAAAGAGCAACATGAAGTTAAGCAGCAAAAAACCGCAATGAATCGAAGCATAATTAATCGAACGATTGTACCGAAACCAGCGCCACAAGCGATAATTACAAGAATCACACCTGGCACTGTAAATAGAAAAATTGTACAAAAACAAAAGGTTGTGTCATCATCTCCAAGACAAACGTTCGCAAAAACCAGCGTTCGGCAAACTTACTCCAACAAAAGCATTATTAGAAAAGTTGGGAATACTTCGATTTATAACAAAAGTTCTTCACCAACTGCAGAACAATTAGAACAACAACAACGACGACAAATAGCTGATATACAAATCACCAACGCAATGGTACAAGTATCGTCTGGATCGGTTATTAATATGCCGCTTTTAGCGGATATTGAACCTTCAACATCCACAATACAGGATCAAATCGAACAGCAACCTTCAACATCACAACATCAAATTATCACAACAGTTCCGGCACAACAAGAAGCGACAACGGCAGAAGTTGCCACTTTGGAATCGGAAACACCACTTTTAATAACCGGGGAAGATGGGACGATATATCAAGTAGCCGGACAAAATGAAGAGGGCCAAACGATTTTAATAGCTCAAGACGCAGATGGACAACAGCAATGTTTGCTGGTTACATCCGAAAGTGCTTCTGATTTATTAGAAGCGGAACCGGCACCTAGTACTTCCGCTATTCAAGAGGTGATGGAACCTGAACCGATTGCTGTTGCTGCTGAACCAGAAAGTGATGGTGCAGAAGAGTCCCAAATAGTTGCACAAATTGTTAGTGCACAACCACCAAGTCCAGGTATGATAAAAAAAAATTCTTCATTGTTAAGTTCAAATTATATTTTTGTTTTAATTTTTTTATTTGTTTAGGTGGAACAAGAAAAGTGGTATTAATGTTGCCTGATGGAAATTTAATGATGACTGAAGTGACAGCGGAGCAGTACATAGCATTAGAATTGGACAAATAAACCTTAAAAATAATTGACTTCTAAGTTGTTCGTTACTCTTTGGCTTGATTTGGAGGTTTTTACAATTGGCCTGATGGTCAATATCATTATTTTTCTCGTTTAGTTCTTTTGGTTTTTAGTATGTTATTTTATGAAAGATGTAAAGTATTTGCAAGTCAGTCTGGACCCACTGTATTTATCAAGTTATATAAAATTTACATTTAGTGTAAGATAGATTTACTTGTAATTTAAATATAGCTTTTAAGATATTGATGAAATAAATTACAATTTCTCAACAACGTTTCCTTTTCTACTTTCCTAAACCATTGTTTGTTTTTAATTTCTTTTTTGTATTTGAAACTTTATTAGCTTTTTTTGAATGTATAAATTTTAATTAATATTTGGATTATAATAAAAGAAGATGATACTTTTATAGTTTTGTTATTAATTTTAATTGTGTTATCTTATATTAACAAATTAACCGAGTTTTTTTGTTTAATTAACAATAAAAATTAACATCGCACCATATAAAGGTATAATTCAGAAAAGAAAAAAAAACACTCAAAGAAAAAAGGAAATAGCATCATTTTAACCTGTTATAAAAAGAAAACTAAATGGTGTATATGATTACAATTAAAAAAAGACCACATTGTTACTTTAAAGTGTACAACATCAAAAATATTGCAACGATTTTACAAAATATGTCAATTACTAATTAAATTAATAATCATCACCCCTAGAAACAACCTCTTTGCAAGTAGGTCTAAGCATAATTGTGTGTTCGAATTGAGCAGTATAACAACCTTTAATGTCACACAATGGAGGATAAGCATCCACAATGCCTTTATCGCATAAATCCTTCAAGGCCATTTGGTATTTAGTCGCACCAGCTCTATCCAACCAACGTTTACAAAATGCCAATGTTCCAAAGTTTTTGTTGATCGTATTTAAGAGGACTTTTGAAGATTGTAATCTATAAAAAAAAAGTATGAAAATAAGAATGTATGAATAACTTTTTTATTACCTTAATGGGACATATGACATCTCGAAATTTTTCATGTAATGAGAACAATCCATGTCGTCGTGAACTAAACCTCGCCCGGTTGAACCAAAAGTTTCAATGGCATAAAATTCATTTTCTTCCATTACAGTTGCTTCGCCCCCTTTTACAATCGGAACTGTTTTTCCAGCATGAATTCCTAAATAATAATAAGTATATTGAATACGCATCAAATGAAAAATAAAGAAGTTATAGGTCATTTTTTTGTTTTTCGGCCATATTTTAAAAACTAAAACGGCTAGATCCAAAAACTTTGTTGAAAAATGACGAGCTCTAAGATACGCAACTTTGCGCAAATTTTACAATTTCTGTATCTCTTTTATGGTTTCTGAGATCCCAATGGTAGGGGTATAAGTATATATGAAGATGGTAATGTCGGTATTTTTAGAGTTTTAAAATGACCTCTACAACTCTGATTTTGATTTAGACCTACTAGTGTTCTTATCGCTTTCTTTTGTTGTATAAAAACGTCTTTTAGGTCACTGGAAGCACCCCATATTGCTATGCCATACTCCGCCATGTTGCGAAAGTATGCGAAATACACATTTCGTGATTCAACCAATGGTAAGTTTTTTACCTTTACTTTTAAACAATATATTGAAATTGCTAATTTCTTTTTAAGCTGAGAGGTGTTCTGACCAACTCAAGGTTTCCATAAACACCACGCCAAGGAATTTAGTCTTTTGATTTGTAACGTGAGTAACTTGGTTTTAGTTTTATTTAGTTGTAATTTGTTCGAGTTGAACCACTTTTCCGCCTCAACCTAGCTTGTACTAGTTTTTTTCTGAAGTTTTTCAATATCCTTTTCCACGTTTATGAAGGAAGTGGGTTTATCTGATTAATAAGCGTGTTGGTAAGTCGTTAAGTAAAGTTTTCATAAGTCAAATATTTAAGTAAGCTCTTCTTTATGACAATTTCCAAAATTTTGGACATTGCAGGTAGGACAGAGATTGGACGGTAATTATTCAGGTCGTTGGGATCTCCAGGTTTCTGTATTGGTATAATTCTCCCGTACTTTAGTTCTTCAGGAAAAATTCCCTCTTTGATATATTTATTGAAAATATCTGCTAATTGTTTAAAGACACAAGTTATTACTTCTTTTAAGAGTTTTGTTGATAATTCGTATACAGGATGTGTCAAATATCTGGAATATAGCCAATAACTTCGCCATTTGTGGTTTTAAAGAAAAATGTTTCAAATACAAGTTTCTTTATTAATCGTGACGCATTTTTTGGTGATATTTGCTTGTTTGTATTGTTTCTTGTTTCGTTGCTATGGCAACCAACATTGTTGTTTTAAATGGGATGCATACAAGGACAGTAGAATCTAACAGGACTGCTACATCCATTGTTGTGACAACCTGCCCGCAAACTACGTCATATCATTTTCCACGCCCAGGTGTTGTTATGGTCTATGTTTGCTGTGTATTATTAGAGGTTATATCCTAGACGTATTCATTATATTTTTGAAGTTTTATGTTTTTAGACGTATTAATGTCTATCATATAGCCTCTAAAAACACAGACAGTTACCAGGCGTGGCAAATAGTGTGACGTAGAGTGCGGGCAACCAACCCGTAGTGGACTACAAAAATACAATGGATGTAGCAGTCCTGTTAGATTCTACTGTCCTTGGGATGCATACATTTTTTTGCATACTTATACACTTATACATAACCAAACCATATGGTTGTATAAGAAGAAAATAGAGAAAAAAATGCGTTTTCTGAAAGTATTAAATCAGCAAATTACAATCAAAGTAGGCGCCAAAATAACGCAGTTGACAGCTTTAAATGTCAAAAAAATGACAGTTTCAACAATTATGAATAATTAATAATGTATGGGTATGGTGACTGATTTAATTTTTCGTCATTGATAGCTGTCTTCGGCCGTCCACTTTTTGGAAGGTTTTAAACACTGGTGTTGAAGAATTTTATCGCCAACCGGCAGCAAAACCGTACTTTATGCTATCCATTTGCGGCAGTAAAGTGACAGTTTATGCTTCTGTCTAGTAAACTGTGCATGTAAAAAAAAGTATAAAAAGGTACAGGTAAAGTATTTTTTTGTAAGTCGCGACGGTAATGAAAGTTTATTACAGAATTCAAACGGGTGCTGCATCCGATGCTGTAATGAAATTTTAGTAACATTTTATGGAACCAATTCAAGTGGTTTTTCTAGTAACTCGCCTCGCTCGCAAACTCAGACTCGTACGATAAATCATCACTTTGCTGACTTGGTACATAAATAACTATTTTTAATATTTTGGATACTGTTGGATTATGTAATTTGTGTATATGGCTAAATATTATTGAACAGTGTATAAACTTCACTTTAAGTACGTTTTCTATCACCGTACCCACACATCATTAACATTTGGATTCTTTGTAGTTCGCTTAATTGCGCCATATTTGTTTAAACTGTCAATTTTTTGACATTTAAAGCTGTCAAGGTTTTTTTCTCGTTTTTTTTTCTTATACAATCATATAATTTGATATGTTCATCGCGTAGAGGGATTTATCCTTTGTCAAAATATGCAAAACAAACATTGCATCCCATTTAAAATATCAATGCTGGTTGCCATAGCAACGAAACAAAAACAATGTAAACAAGCAAATATAGCCAAAAAATGCACCACAATGAATAAAGAATTTTTTATTTGAAACCACAAAGGGCGAAGTTATTGGCTATATTCCAGACATTTAACACACCTGTATATCCAATGATCTTTTCTTTTAATGTTTCTGTTTCCCATTTTTTACAGTTCATTTTTGCCTCTTTTGTTATGATTTCAAGAAAAGCTGAATTATAGCAGTGTAGGTAGTTAGCAGTGTTATATCAAACTTTTAAAAATTTACGAAATTATCTAATTAGTGACAATTTATCTTTGGGAGCAAATTATTCAAACTATTTTTGTATTTTTGATATGTGTTATGTCACTGCGTTGCTATGGAGATGAGAAACTTTCAAAGATAACTTGATGAATTATGAACATATTCGACAAAAATATTTTTGTGTAATTTATAAGAGTGATTTTCAAAGTTCAATATCACGAAAATGGTTAAGTTTAGGTTTATGATGTGCTACATGAATTTTGTTTAGAATTTCAAAATATGGAATAATATCCAGGAAGTTCCATTAATGAAAACACAACTTTGTTTCGTCACAACTTTTTGACTGGCCCTGTATACTTAATTTGTCTTTATTGTAATAGATTTTAAAAAACACTAAAACTTTTGTATCTTAACATTTTTAGCTAGCTATCTTACTTTAGGAGATAACCAGCCGTTTCCATACATATCAGACACCTTTATAATATAATGACAATTTACAATCTATGCCTGAACTCCTCTTTAGCCCCACTGGGAGAGTGGTAGACCACCATAATTATAAATTTTAATTTGAGTATTACTACAGATACTCTTAATACTCTTTTTTTATTGCAAATAGAACTCCTATGGGGGTGTATTTGTCCTGCAATAATGCTTTTATTTTTTTCTTCTGTCATCCAATGCTCTGTTATGGCAATAATGTGAGCATCCTGGTTTAGTGTTAATAAATAGCATGGAAATGGCTTATACAAGTAGAGTAATGTAACTTACTGTATGGAGCTATAGAATGCCCATTCAAATTTCTAATAGACTTTATTGGATAAGTTTTCCCATCCAACTCCAATTCATATGACTCCATAACTTCTTGAATAGCAGCGCCAATTTCGCAAAGTTGAACATCAATACCTATCACAAAATAAAATAAGTTATTTATTAAAAAATTAATTTAATAAATTACCAGCAGCTTTAATTCCTGTATTAGTAGCTTCCCTAACAGCTTCAACTAATTTATCATACTTTGGATTGAAAGTTAATGTAAAAGCGCAATCAATAATCCGTCCATTGATATGTGTCCCAAAATCGATTTTAGTAACATCATCATATTCAAGCACCGTTGCATCCCCAGCATTTGGCGTATAATGCGCGGCGCAATGATTTCTCGAACACCCGGTTGGAAAAGCTAATCCAGCTTTTAAACCATTTTCTGCAATCAAACTTCGAGCGGTTTTCTCTAATTCTTCACAAATTTCGATCATCGTCATTCCTGGTTTAACCCAACGTTGAATGTACTGGCGAGTTTGGCGATGCGCCTCCGCTGCAAGTCTTACTTCATTGTATATGTCATTATTAAGACGATCTATGGCACGTTTTTCTTCGGATGTGAAACGATCTTTAGCTGAACGATCATCTTTATTAGTAGCATACTGCATTATTTGCCCTTCGGGGAAAACTTGATCTGGGAAAAGGTCAACGATTGGTATTGAAGGTGGATTTGTTTGGCCACCTTTTGAACCACCACCGCCTTTTTTACGGTTACGTCTACGTTTTTTCTTGTCTCCTTCGGTTTCATTTTCGTTTGTGTCAATTGATTCAACACCGTTTTCTGCATGAGATTTTTCTTCATTAGTTTCTGGTTGTTTTTCAGATAATGCATCATCTGTACCTAACAATAACAAAAAAAGCATAAATTAAATAATTAAATTACTGCTTAAACATGGGTACCAACTTAAAAGTGATGTATTTAAAATGGTTCATTTCAAATTTACATAAAATTGTTAATTATATTTGGATATTTTTTTGTAAAAAATAAAAAATCCACGCGGAAATTTCAATAAATTAAAAGCTTTACCGGTTTTCTTTTTCTTCTTCTTCTTTTTTTTCTTCTTGGCGGCTTCACTGTTGACAGCGTCTCCTTCGATATCCTCTATTTCTCGGTTTTCGTCGTTTTCATCCTCGTTTTCCTCGATATTCGGATCAGTTTTTACGGCAGCCATTTCGTAACTTTAGCGATACGCAATAAAAAAAAGCTCGTTCCGGCAACAACACCGTGAAGATAGGTTAGTTAACTTCACGTTACTTCCAGATCTAAAATGCCATTTACACAGTATCGAATTAAATATAAAATTTCCCTACAAATTTTTTTAAATAATATTTCAAAAAGTATTTATTAATAATTAATTTGTTGGATCTAAAATAGAAGGCATAAATAATACGTAAAAATTTATTTTAGTTAAGAAAGCTATAAATTTGAATTTAACGGTTACAATTATACGGTTTAAGACTTGGTTTATACAAGTTATTTTCGCCCTGAGACGAATGTTTTAAAAATTAAGATTAATAAAATAAATTTGAATTTAGTATAACTCAATTTGTTTTTAACTTAAAATCTTTTAAAAATAATTGTTTCATTGAATTAAAATTTTAATGGAAATTTTTCATCATAAAACACGAAAACAATGCTCAATAAATAAGTATTAAACTTGTGTAGTTAAAATCATTAACGCAAAAATAAAACGAGAGCTATGTTTTCGACAATTTTTCTTATTTTTTGCTTTGTTTCTGCTGAATTAATGAAGGTTAGTATTTTTATATTGCTTGGATTGATAAGTTAATTATTTTTTTTTAAACAGGTGCAAACTTTTCCGATTCCAAATTTAGAAGGAGCTGAAACCGGTGAAAATCATAATGATGAAGCGGCAGAGTCAGTGGATGTTGCTCAAAGATCTAGTCTAGATTTAGCACATGCTTTGGAAAATATGTTTTCATCTGATGACGCAGCACCACCCATTTCAAAGTCATAAATAAATAATATTAAACGGATTTTAATAAAAACTCTTAGACAATAAAACTATCACGTTATTTTTCATTAAAATAATAGTAAATTAATTACTATCCCAGACACTTCGGATTAAGCAAGCTTACAGCCTGGGTAATACTGTACTGTATTCCAGGCGCAAGAATTTGCTATTGACATGGGTGCTAGAATCTTTTTTGAGAGAGGGATGAAGAACATGACAGTACGATTATTTTCAGACAATCAAGTTGCTCCCCAGGCGCTACAGGTCGTGAAAACGGTGTCGGCTCTGGTTAATGCCTGTAAAAGAACTTTAAACACACTGAGTTGTGATAACAGAGTTTCTTTGATCTGGGTCACAGGTCACTCTGAGGTTGCTGCGTCTTCAGATGCACTGCTAAACCCAAATGATTCTAGTTCTAGATACAGTGTTAATTCTACATAGTAACAGTACTACTGTAAAACTAGAATATCAAATTGAAAAGTCAAATTTTATTTCTCACACGAATGAATATAAATTAAAAAATGTTATGTAATATTAACAATTATTAATTAATACAATAATTAATTAATTAACAATTATATATCATAATTCCGTATTTCATATTTCCTAATTTTATTTACTTCTCTTCTTGGCCTTTAAACCTTTTTTAACGCCAGATTTAGCACCTCCAATAATATTTTTAAATTTACCAGCATTTTTCATCTTCTTCCTATTATAAAAATTATTAAATTATTGTGTTTATAAAATGTTTGTTATATTACCTTTTATTTAAAGCACTCCGCATTAACGGTAAATAAGCATACGGATCAACCTTTGATTTTTTCTTAATATCTCCTCGAGCTTTTTTCGCTTTATACTCAGATCCCGGATTATTAATTGCTTTAACCTCTCTATGTATTCCAGATCCGCCCGGTTTATATTTACTAATTTGACTCATCGAACTAACTCCACTTTTAACACTTCCAGCTTCGCTTCGTTTTCTTTTACGACCCCCAATTAAAATAGCTTCTGTTTTACGTTTATCATCGTCAGAATCTTCATCGGAATCTGAGCTAAATCCGAAGGTTTTTTTTTCATTTTTTGAATCGCCGTCATCGGTAATTAATAATCGCCCATCTGAAGATGTTTTAAATCCGCGATCTTTTTTCTTTTCTTCTTGAACGATTTGTTTATCGTTTTGAATCGGTTTCGCAGCGGTTATTTTACTGGTTGTGCTCGGATCTTTAAAATCAATTATATCATCAACGTCTTCAGAAATCCACGTTGGTTTTGGTTTCTTTTTCAAAGATTTTTGTTTCGATTTGGTTTCGATTTCGTCTAAATCGGAATCTGAGTCGGCTAAAATTTCCTCGACAGTTTTCGGTTTAGATTTGATTAAAAATTCTTCGTCTTCGTCACTTTCTTCGGTATCCTTTCGTTTCGCTTCGTCTTTCATCCGCTTTTTTCGCGCGTTTAATTTCCTTAGATTTCTTAATCGCTTATAAATAATCGTATCGGTTTCTGGTACGAAAGGAGTTATAGCATCGCAGCCGTATTTTCGTACGAATTTATCGAAAATATCTCTTAATTTTAATCGGAAGTGGCGCTTACAATCTTCGGTCATGCTACATAAAGCTTTAACGATTTCCCCTAAAGATGCTCCAACTACAGTGCTTGGCAATGTGGAAGTGTAGACTTTAATAAAACTTAAACAAGAAGCTACGATTTCTCTGGTTTTTGATGTCATTAATATAGAGATGTTTTCTAAAATGTTTTGGATGTTATCTTTTCCTAAAGCACCGGAAAAGTTATGTAACGCGGACGTTAAAGCTAAAATTGTGCAACTAATCATTTCTGTTGTTCCAGCTAAACCGGCAATTAACATGTTTATAAATTCTTGTAATTGATCGTGATTTTGTAGAATTAAACCGATTGTACGTAATAGATCGTAGGCTGTAGCGCGACATTTTTCATTTATATCTTTACAGCATAAAATCGCTTCAGGTACGACGGTTTTAATTAAGCCGCTTTCGTGGTCTAATTGAGGTTGGGATTGAATTAAATAACTGAAACATCTCAATCTCGCCGCTTTACTTGAAACAGCAGCGGAATCTAACGATTTTTTTAACAGGCTTTGAACCGTTTTTCGGTTTGATTTAAGGAATTCTTTGCAACCCTCGCTTTCACATCCGCAAATCTCCTCTAAAATGCGATACAATTTCTTCTGCTCTCGATTATTTTTAATTTCCGGTAATTTTTTGATATAATTTTCGTATAAATTCGTTATCTCCTCTACACTTTGATACGGGATAAGAGCTCGAATCAAATCCATGATGCTTTCATTTAAAAAGGATTGGTCTGGTTGATCGTTTGATGACTCCATTTTTTCTAAAGCGTTTTTAAAGAGTTGGTGTTTTAATTCCGGCTTGGAAATCGATAAATACACTTTTATTGTGTCTAAAGCAGCTAAACGTTGCCCTTCTTCGTCAGTTCCGATTGGTTTAGTTGTGTAAACATTGAAAAGTATCGGAAGATAATTTTTATCAAACCTGGATAACTCGTTTAAATCGCCTTTATCTTCATTTTCTTTGGCAAAAGATATTAATTTTCTTAAACAAGCCATTACGGATAATCTTAGTTCTTTGCGTTCAGAAATAGCTGTTCCTAAGACTTTGGCAATGTTCTAATTCAAAATAAAAATGGTTAAATTTCGAACCTTTAATATAAACCAATTTTATACCTTAAAATTTGTTTTAATATCCGTAGGAGCGTTACAAAAGCTTGGTAATAAATTCCACAATTGCAAATATAATAATTCTGAACTATGAGAACCAATACCATCATTTTTTTCTGCCAACATCATCGATCGGCGATTACAATAGATAGCCAAAGGTAAAATGCCATTAATCCAAAAATTTAAAGTTGATTGTTTAATGTTTTCTTTTAAAACTGGTAAGATCCATGAACGGTCTAAATTCAATTCATCATTTTCTCTCTAATAAACAACTCATAATAAATTAGTTCTAGTTTTAGTTCAACAAAATAAATAATTTACCTTTAAGCTAATTACATTTAAAACAATTTCAGGTCCCATCGATCTTATTGCAGCTCCAATAGCGTGTTCTAATTCACTATTATAACTGAATTTATACGAATCTCTCAATTCAGATAACGATTTTAAACAACTCAGTAATAAATCGCTACAATTTTTACCAGCAACTTCAAACATAATCCCAATTACATGCAAAACTTGGTGCCAAGCGGTATGATATTGATAACCCAAACAATTTTCGATGGTTTCAAAACATTTCGCAATTTTAGGTTGTTGTTCTTTTAATAACCCCTCATTATCCATCATTGGAGCGACCGCATCTTGTAATAAAGCCTCTAAATTATGAGTTACAGCCGTTAATATTTCCGGTTTTTCACTGAGCCATAATTGAGTGACCGTTGAAAAAAGTTTTGGTAAAATTTCAATACATAAATTCAAATTAACACTAAAAAAATCGATTTTAGTATCAAAATTTAATATTTAAAGTAATAAACTCACTCAGCTAGATGAATGTGGGCTTGTTTCATTACAACAAGCCAAGCTAAATTGGGTTGGACATCAGTTAAAGGCGGTTTGTAATCATATAAAGCAGTTATTATTTGAGCGTTTAATTTAGCAGGAACGACAGCTTTTTGAGTTGAAAATAATGAGTGAAAAACTTGTAAACCACACGATGTGATTAAGTGATTGTGTAAATTGAAAAGACGTAGAATTATTTCAGAGCATTTCTAAAAAGATTTTTTTTTAATAATTATTATTTTTAAAGAGCCTGCAAAAATTGATTTTATAAAAACTTTTTAGATTATTTAGGGTGATCTAGCAGTTTTGAAAGGTGCTGAATCCGAAAATGACAACCGTTTTTCCGCATTTCAACACGATAATCTGAAACTAACTGGTAGCAATATGACTGTTACTTTTACTCTTGTGAGTAACACCTGGATTCCCTCGATGAAGTGACCAGCAGTAGTTGGCCATCATACTGACGTTCCAACTACCCTGATATCTCCTCGCCATGACCTTAATATGCTGATGGAAATGTTCACCCTGGTACTACCTAAGTTTTCTGCAATTCCATTCACAAATGAAACATGGGTACTTAGTGTTTCCTCCCTGCAGACCAAGCATCATGACCCAAGCTTTCAGATCGCCACAAACTATCCAGTTATGATCTGTATATTTAATTTTATTTAGCATCTCTTTCAAATTCTCGTAATTTTCTTTGAGGTGTACAGAATGCCCTAGAGAAGAGCTTCTTTTTGAAGAATCAGTGAATGAATCAATTCTTTTGAACGAAATCAGGAACATTACAACAGTACACCAAGTTCTTGTTTGAAATAGTCAGTAAATTTATGACCTCTAAATCTGTACTGATAAAAAGATGTTCCAGCAGCCAGCAGCATTTTTTGTATTAGTCTAGAACCCAAGAGTTCAGCATTCTCCTTGGTAAGTCCCAAGTCTCTCACCAAATAAAACTGATCGAAAAGTTGTGGGGTGGTATAATCTGAAGGATCTGGGAAATCACAGTCATCTTCATTCACATCATTCACTAGAGCTCATCTCACCTAGTGTTGCTGGAGGCTGAGGTTCAGGCATATCTGGTCCATGAGCTACAGGTCGCAATGCAGAAGGAAGGTTGTTATAACCATTAAGTTAAGAGTTATATTTTTTGGTTCCCCCCACACCATCAGAATGCCAAATTTGAATGATTTTTTTTTTTACTTGATGACCACTTCCTAAGATTTTTTACACAAATATAACACACTTTGTGAGGTGCCCATGATTTGTCCTGGTCCCCAAGTCTCACACTGAAATAGGAGTATTCCTAACAAAGTCTGTAATGGTGTTTTTTAATGACAAGTTCACCCCAAATGTAGCAAAAATTAGCTAGAAGACAAGTTGACACGAGTGGAAACAACACATAAATGAGCGCGTGAAAGTGTGTTTGTGAAGAGATGATTCAGACAAGTGTATCATCCATGGCGGGATGAGGGTGAGGGTCAAAAACGACTGCAGTGGATGAGCATCCTGACTCATTCACAAATAATTTTATGAATGAATCAGCATCACACATTGTTTTATTTTCTTTTATTATAATCAAAGAAAATGCTGATTTTCAACGAAATTTTTCATTATTTTTCCCGGATTCAGCACCCAAAAGTCAATAAAGATCGCCTTCAGGTTTCAAAAAAGTTTTTTGGTCATAGGGCTGACAATTAATACCTTAATGTGGGTCTTTGAAAAATGAGATATCGTTTCTTTAAGTAACCCTAAACTATGTAAAATTGTTGTTTCACTACTTTGAAGTGAAGAAACCAAAACTACACTTGAAGTTCCTCCTAAACAACCATTTAAAGTTTCCTCACAAAATTCGGCGAGTTTTTCAGCTGGATAATTAATTTTTTCATTTTGAAAGCAATCAGACATTAACACTAAAGAAATTGCTTTTTGAGCTGATTTTCTCCACTAAAACAGAACATTTTTATAAATCTTATTGATTTTTAAGTTGTTTTGCTCACTTTTGGTTTGCTGTGAATACTAAAAGGGTTGATTAATGTATCAAATAATTTTTGAGGCTTCTCTTGATTCCATGATAAATAATCTAAAGATCTTAATAAAGCACAAACAATGCCGATTGTTGATTTTATAATAATGTTATTATCTTGTCTAATGTAATCATTTAAAATTTGGAGTAATGCATCAGATATATCTTCAAAATTTTTCCTTAACACTGCGACAGGTACTTGACGTACACCCATATCAATTAATGCTAAAGTAGCAGCTACTTGCATATCGTTCTTATCATCAGATTCCAATATTGTTTCTAAAGTAGTCCACTACAAACGCAAATAAATCATGATTATCACAAATTTTATTAAATTAACCCTTACCAAAGAACAATAATATTCAGTGCTTGTTTCAGTACCACCATTCTGTTTAATAACCTCGGCGATAGCAGCTAAAATTGCCAGCATTTCTTTATGCAAAGCAGAATCAGACCTAAACACCTTCAAAAATCTGTTATAAGACATATTACTACAATCGGACCATTCTGAAGCAAAAGATTGTATCGTCTGGTAAGAACTGTAACTCGAAACACTTCCTTCGTCCATTTCTTCCGATTTAACATTTTCTGGTTTTGTTGTCCATGTTTGAACGGCATCATGTCGTCGTAAAGCTTCTAAAGTTAATGTACTAGAACCTAAGAAGCACATTAAATATTTATTTTGATTTAGAAAGGTTAAAAGTTAAAAATATAACCTATATTCGGCTGAAAAAATCGTCCTTTAGCCTGATCCCGATGTTTCTTTGTTTCAGGGTTAGAACTCGAACTGTGTCCCTTTGGCCATCGTTTCCCCTTTGTTTGCCCCTTTAATTTTGTCCTAAATTTGCCCATTTTTTATCACTTTAAAGTTCACGCACGTGAAATGATACTAAATGTCAAAAAAATTGAGGTTATGTTTCTTGATAAATTAAAATATTTTTAATATTTTTTTAAATATAAGTTTAATTTTTTATTTAATTGTAATATTATAAAGAATATTAATGAATTTGTGTTTTAGTATAAAACTTTCATAAATTAATATATTATTAGAATATAATTATAATAAAGATAACTGTATTACCAACATAAAGATTATCGAGAAAATTAAAAAGAAATTATAACAAAATTAAATTTAAAAACATGATAACACATTTATTAATAATATTGATTTTAAAATTAAAACTTTATTTCTATGCTTTATTTATTTATTTATTATATAAGCATAATTGATATATAATGGGGTCATACACACTTATTAAATTTAGAGAAAATTTTTATGTCAAACGATATATGCAAGTATATGCATGAACACAAAGTAAAAGAAATATTTTGATCAATTTTATATTTTGCGTAATTTGAAGTGAAAAATAGCAAATATTCAAACGAAATAATTTCGCGGCTTTTCTGTGACGTAGGAACCGCACTGCCTAAAACAAGTTAAATTGTCCGATAGATAGCGCTTGCGGTGTGACAGTGTCAAAATAAAACCATGGATGTAATACAGTGTCTCTATTACATCCATGAACAAAACATAATAAACATAACCTACAAGCACTCTATCTCTTTTCAATACAACCTAAATGACGTTCATCTCTTTCTCGCATTTGAGCGGGGAGCAGGGGACGCAAAAGTGAGAATCGTACGTCATCAACGCGGGAATTTTAAAAGCGCAAATGGGTACATAAATTTTCAGTAATTTTTTTAACAATGAGTTTGTTCGAAAATATTAAAAAAAAAAATAACGGTAACTATATTTTTATATAAACTTTCAGAAAATATAATAAAAAAAAAATCGTGTATGACCCCATTGAATTTATTCTTAACTGGCTGCGTTCAATTATTGTATCTAGTTACTGATAAAGTTATAAAAATTATTTTTTTCCAGATAACCTTTTTATTTATTTAATTTCGATTAATTATTAATACATTTGAAGTGATACCAATACTTAGAATAGGTTAAATTGTTTATATTATGAAATTAGTTAGAACTTGAGATTATACACCACGTCAGATGTCAAATTTCAGTCAAACGAAATATTTCGTGACTCATGCAAGTTGAAGCTTATAAGACCTATTTCTATAAATAGTATACTCTCTCGAGGGTCTAATCGTACTATAAAACAACACGTAGCCGAAAGTGATAGCGATTATTAAAAACTTTCGTTGTTAGCCAGTTTTTGAGAAGATTAAAATGAGTTTACAGTGGACCCTCATAGCCGGTTTCTTGTATTTCGAGATCGCCGCGGTGCTTCTTTTAGTGTTGCCGATTGCCAGTCCAAGGAAATGGAACAGTTTATTCAAATCGAAATTTCTGCAGGGGTTGCAACGACAAGCGAGCATTTATTTTATGATTTTGCTAGCGATTCTATTCTTGTTCCTTTTGGACGCTATTAGGGAGATGAGAAAGTATTCTCATGGGAGTGGTGAGTAGTTCGAGGTTTTTGAGTGTATGGGGCAATGTCCAATTGAAATTGATTGTCAATTTATAAATATTTTATATCTCAGTTAATTAATTTATTATGTTTTATTTTTAGAACACGAACATAAACAATTAGAAGCTGAGATGCAAGAGAATATGCGCTTATTCCGCGCGCAAAGAAACTTTTACATTTCCGGTTTTGCTTTATTCCTATCTTTGGTGATTAGAAGATTGGTTACTTTGATTTCTTCTCAAGCGGGACTTTTGGCACAGTCTGAAGCTGCTATGCGACAGGCGCAAAGTGCTTCAACTGCTGCTAGAACATTGTTAGAGCGAAAAGGGGAACAGGCTCAAAACGAAAGTAACGAATCTGCTAGCAAAGATAAAGAGGTAATGAATTTATTTTAATTTAAGAAAAATCTGTATTAGTTATTGATTATAAATTTTTTATTGTAGATTGCAGAATTAAGAGAGACTATCACAGAATTAGAAACCAAGCTTGTTTTTGAACGAAAAGACAAGAAAGCGATGAAGGAACAATCTGAAAATCTTCATAAAGAGTATGATAGATTGGCTGAAGAACATAGTAAGTTACATAAGACTATTTTGTCATCTGGGGACAAAAAAGATGATTAAATGGTAGTCTTGAAAAAATATTTGTAATAATAATAAACATTGTTGCACTTGAGCTGTTGGTATTGATAGTTGTTACATAACCTTTATTTGGAATATAATATATTTATCAATCATACAATATTTAATGTCGCTCCATTTTTGTTGAGGTTTATGTTTTTTTATATTTAATCGTATTATAAGAGAATTAATAGGGGCTTTAGAGCTAATTTTTATTTGAACCTTTTTTACACCATTGGTGAAACTGTTTTTGTTTCTAATAAAATTTTCAAACTAATTAACTTGTTATTATTATTTTATTTTGTAGGTAGTTAATTAATAATAACATAAAATTCAATATATAACACTTTACAGTCTCAAGCCATGGTTTGTATTATGCTGTAAGCTATAATAGCTCTAAGCTAATCAGTCAATCTATAGAGAGTTTGCGGTATGTAGTGAATTGCTTATTAAAGAAAATTATTGGTTTTTTAAGACGAAAAATGCCGAAAAAAGTAGTTGACAAAATGAGATGAAAACCATGGTATAAAAATACAAGGTATAACCGAAAGGATTCGATCACGATTCGTTTTTTAAGCGTTCTGCGCAGCTTGGCTTTAAACGTCATAGTTTAGTGGCGTCTTACTGACTGCGTTACTTTTTCGTCATCATTTCGTTCGTCTAGTTTTTTTTACAAGTAATTTCAGTGTTTCAAGAAAGATTTCTTCTTAAATAAAGATTCCTTTATTAGTTACTTTAATTTGTACCCATCTTTCTCTTTTAATGAGTGAGAATCATAGATAAATCGCCCATAGAACGTAACGTCATACATTGAGTGTAATTTTTTAGTAGGTATGTAGAATACTTAAAAAGATTACACAACATTTTGTAAATTAATTCCTTTTTAGATATTTTGATATAAAAAATGACTTTGGACACACCGCCATCTGAAGAATTCATCAAAGAAGTTATTTTTAAAATATTTCAAAATAAGAAAAATGTTTCTTATAAAATTGAACCGGGATCAAACGTTGGTGATGGTTTTTTAGGAATAACAGCTTCGATAACGGTTAATTTTGAGGATGAAATAAAACATATTTTTATGAAAATGGCCTCAAAAAATAATTTAATGAGGGAGCATGTGTTTCAAAGAGATCTTTTTCAAAGAGAAAGTTATTTTTATTCGAAAGTACTCTTTATTATGAAAAATTTGTATGAAGATTGTTTCAAAAAAGAATTTCTTCTTCCTAATTGTTATTACACTTCCAATGAAGACATTAAAGAGTGTATTGTTTTAGAAAATTTATCACAAAGAAATTACAACTTGATCAAATCAAAATGTTTTGATAAGAATCAATTATTAACGGTGCTACATACTTATAGTCAATTACACGCTTGTGGTTTTATGATAAAATTAAAAAATTCAGATGAATTCGAAGACTTTTCAAAGAAATTTGAACGAAATTATTTCAAAAAACACTTCGATAAGTTTGGTTTATCAAAAGTTACAATGAAAAGTTTAGATATTTTAAAAAAATCTTTGAATCTCCATCAAGATGAAATTCTTTTAAACAAATTTGACGAAATAAAAAAACTTGTTATCCAAGCCGTGAATGGATTGTTGGTCCAAGAAAATTATTCAACAATTATACATCAAGATTGTTGGCGAAACAACATAATGTTTAAATACGACGATAACAAAATCCTTCAAGATATTAAATTAATCGATTTTCAAATGTGGTGCGTCAACACTCCTATTTTCGATGTGGCGGCGTTAATTTACACCAATACAGCGTCGAAAGAAATTCTAGATGATCTAAATTATTATTTAACATTTTATTATAATTCTTTATCGGATTCAATTCTTAAAATGGGAGGAGATCCTTTAGTTTTGTATCCAAAAGAAATTTTTAACCAACAGTGGAAAAAACACAATTTTTACGGTTTATGGATCGCGATTGTTGTAGTTCGCGGATTATTAGCCCCCGTAGAAATGCTACCAAATTTAGTTGAATATGTTAAAAATAATATCCCTTTGGAAAATTCTTTTATGTTTGATCTTCCGGATGAAAATGAATACTGTGATCGATTAAAATTACTTTTACATCACTTTATAGAGAATAAATATGTTTAAATAAAAATCAATAATTAAAATCTATAGCTTTATTTTCATCATTCATTCCTCTGTGCTACAACAGTGTGTTCATGTTGTCATAAAAAATATAACATTATTACAGCTTAAAATAACGTTTTTACAAATGAAAAAGTTACAGTACAAAAAAGAGTACAAATCAGTCCAAATACTGTGCTTACAAGGACAGCATTCCGTAATTAAAAAAAAAGAAAAATATGCGGATAGAAAAATATAAAGTTAAATCTAATTTATGTATTTAACAATGTTGTCTTATTTAATAACATTCCGGTTTCTGTAAATTAATAATATCGAACGATATTCGAGATCCGATTTAAAACGTAATATTTAAATATATTTGTTCTTGTTTTGTAGGGAAGTCATAAGAATTTATTTTAGTACACTTAGTAAATATACTGGGGGACGAATAAGAGAGATAACAGTGCACGTTTTCGTGATTCTTTTCATAATTACTACATTTACTGAGGTTAATATACAGATTACTAAATCGAATTGGAAAGTTACAATTAACACGAATGATATACAATTAATGATTCGGTTACCTTAATTAACTAGATTGAGTATCAGACGCTAACAATTATACATAGGTAGAAAAAAACTTAAATATGTAGTAGGTACAATAAAAAAGTTTACAAAAAAATTTTTCGGTCGAAATTTTATACAAATTCTGAGTTCTAAAATATAAAATCTTAAATGTATATCAACTTGTCACAATGGCTGTGCACACACAATTTTTACATGATTCATATTCTGTCGACGTTATTGTGACATTTTTCATCAACTTTTCATCATCTCTTCGGGGGCATATTTATATCTAGGCACATTTTTTACACACATTTGCACACTATATTTTTGTTTTCACTATAATTATAATTTTTCTTCTTATATTTATCTCATATTTCTCTTTCTTTCTATCCAGGATTAACACGGCATCAGTGTCCTTTCAGTTTTTCTTTTAATTTATTCATTTTTTTTTTCATTTTTCTAACTTATACTCAATTGGCAGTATTTGTACGGAGAAAACCAAATATAGCACATTGTTATACAATTCTATTGCAGTTATTGTCTGCTTTAGAAAAAATTAAAACTACGTAACAAGCATATTTAAACGTTCGTTTTTCTTTTTTCTGTTTTTATTAGTTTCCTTTTAGTTACCATCGGTGTAATGATCGAAAGATCCTAAATATTCCAAAGCTGCGCGATAACAAAACTGATATTGATCCTAAAAATAAAAATTTATTCATTAATAATTTGTAATAAATAAATAATTAAGATTACCTCTGTTTGAACCATTGCTGGCCTTTGTGTACGTAATATGCGCACTGATTGGAATATATCCACAACTCCCTCATATTGCATCCTTTCTAATATGATACTTAACGTTATAAATACACCTGTACGACCAACTCCAGCACTAAAAAGTAACAAATTTCATTATAATTACATTAATTAAGAATTTGGATCTAAAACTAGAACTAATAATAACTCTATCACTAGGTCTAGTGTTCTAATACAGGGAGTTTCAGCGAGATCGTTCATTAGACGTTTATGGGGTTCTGGCCAAAATAAAAATTTGAAAATTTATGTATAATCAATTGAGATCCCTTCAACTAAAGTATTTTCTATTTTTTCTAAAAAAATCTGCTCCAGCAGACATTTGTTCAAAAGATCAGAAAACACTCGATTTTTATTTCATGACACAAAAAATAAGGGATGATGTATAATCCAACGTCTTCGCTGCTTCGTTTTAATAATTTATTGGGCACCTGATTCTTTTGCAAGAAGTGTTAAACATTGAAATTCGATTAGTGCATTTTAGTTTGATACAATGACGTAGGTTTTATTTGAAATATTTCGAGAAAACGAGTAATTTTTTTATTGAAAGGTTGAGTTTTAAAACCAAAAAACGATTTAAAACCGCTTCGCCCCGTCGTCTTTACATTTTTTGTTTATTCACCTCCAGTATTCCTTCTTCACACAATAAATTAAGGAGGGGATGTTTGAAAGTTGATTCGCTAATAACGCATTTTAGTTGATGTGCGGGCATTGAAGGGTGATAATGTAGTTCAGAAAAATAAAACTTATTACGTGAATTAAGTGATAAATATTTTAAATTTTAGTTTAAAATTAATTTATCTTTTCTTTCCAGCTGAGCTTCGAAGTAAAATCCAAGGGAAACAACATCCATTCGGTGAGTCGTTTTCAATTTTATTAATTTACCAAAACATATCGGGATAATTCGCGATTTGAACGCTACTCATTTTTCGTATTGGGGGCTAGACTTCCAGTCGGTAGATACGTGGAGGAATTTAAATTACCGTACGTAGGCAATTAGTAAATTTTGAGATCGGACATTTCCGCCTTCGTATTGGCTAAGGATTCAGCTTTCCCATTAGGTTCAGTTCCAAGGGTACATTACAAATGTACACCAGTCTCTTACCGTGTAAAGTATATTGATCACTTATATAGCTTAAGCTGCTAGTTTTCCATATGTACATATAAATAGAATATTCGTGCAAAATAATTTGATATTAAAATAGTATTATTTTAGTGTTTGCCTAACTTATCCTTTGATATGGACTCTCTTCGCTGATAGAATGAGAGTCATTCGGCTTGCGCATACAACATATCTGATATCAATGAGAGTTAGTACTTTCATGGAGGCATTGTGGTTAGCGAGGCTTACTTTATTTTCTAATGTGTAACATTCTAACATGTTAAACTTTTCGTAATTTTCGTAATCTATCTTAAAAAACAGGATTTTTAATTTGACAGATTTGACACTTTAGAAAATTTTTGAATACAAACAAGTGTTGCTATGTTTATTTGAATTAAAAAATATATATATATGAGCGCCATCTATCAATAATTTATTAAGTTATTTAAAAATAATATTAAATATTAATAAAAAATATGAAATAATGCAATCTATTCCAACTTTTGTGTAAAACAAATATAAATTAAATAGTTCAACAAATGTATTTGTTTCAAATATCAGAAATATGTTTTTTAATTTTCAGTTATAATTTACAGGAAACTGTAAATTTAATTTCTTTGACGACACTAAAAAAATGTTTATTTTTAGCTTTATTCTAAAACAATAAGAAATAGACCTGTTAAACTCTATATTTTTGTAATCAGAAAAAAATAACGAATTTAATAAGCGAATAATCAGTGGTTGTTTTCATGGTTGCCATGGAAAACAAATGTTTAATGACTTATTGACAAACGTCAAAGTCTGATTTACGTTGTTTGGTGGTTTATTCTTTATGCATGGAAAGTGCGACAAAGTTCTTAGTAGAATTTGCAGAATGTTTAATGAAAACTAAATGTGGATTTACCTCCGATGACAAAAGGTAAGTTTAGATTTTAACTCTTATCCCACTCTCACTCTCTCGCATGTGAGCTTTTATTAGAACTCATTGAGAAGTGTTGAGAAGGCTTGTTTCCCATGGCACACTAGGTTAAATATTGATATGTTATGTGTGTATTTTTCAAAAAACCCTAATATTCTCCCAAACTATTAATGTACACCGAAGAGTAATAAAATATGAGGTGTACCATTCAAAAAAATGAAGTTATGGTACTTCCAAATTTCGAAAAGTTAACGTGCCGTAGTAAAGAGACCAAACGTTCTAGACAGCCGTTCTTGGTACCAAAACATACCCCATCATGTTGCTTAAACATGTTCTGACTCCTAAATTGATATCCCAAAAATCGAATGTTCTCCGATTTTTTGAACAAATGTCTGCTGGAGCAGATTTTTCTAGAAAAGTTCGAATAACTTGAGAACGGCCGAATCAAATTGCAAAAAGTAAAGTTATTCATAAACTTTGAAAACAGATAAATCCAAATATGTATGTAAAAATATACAGGTGTTCCATTTAAAAAAATAAAGTGGGTGTCAACTTCTGGTATAACCGGAAGTGCTAAAAATCTGAAAATATTTTAGTCGAAGAGAACGGAATTATTAATAGTTAAAACTGAATTTTCAAATTTTTATTTTGGCCAGAACCCCAGAAACGTCTAATGATCGTTTCAGCGCCAAGTTTTTGTGTAACACTTTGAACTTAAAATTACCTGCAATGTACGGTAATTGGACCATCTTGTCCAAATTGCTCTTTCGTTTTATGAACTTGCCCAATAAAATCAATAAATCCGTCACCGGATTTTGGAACTCCTTGTTCTGGCCAATCTGTAAATTGAAACTGCCTCACCGTTCTCGATGAACCATCCCTAGCATCAGTTACTTTAAATTCGCGTAAAATATATAACGGCATGTTGTATTCAGCGATTGGATCAACTACATAACAACGGTATCTTATTGAACGATCACTTGGCCAATATTGATGACACTTTTCCTATAAAAAAAATATATACCAGTAATAACAACTAAATATTTATTTTATAAATCTCACCCTCCCCATTTCCTTTAATTTCGTTAACATAACAATAATTGTGGAATTATGTTCCCAAAGCATTCTCCATAAATCATCGGCAGTATCCGATAATGGACCTTGAGTAGCAATATATGCTTTTCTATAACGATAACCGTCGACGAAACTAGCATTTACGTAATCAGAACCGTCCACATTTCTTATTGGTGCTAAACAAACTCGGGTACTTTCGTAGGGTAAGATATGTACTAATCGATTCTTGTGTTTATTACACGGTAAATTTGCGGTGGTAAAACGCGTTGAATCGGTTTTCATGTTACTCAATTTTTTAAATTCCATTTCCATTCCGGTTATGTGCTCTCCCAATTCAGCTTGCATTAATTTTTGTATGTGTTGATGAAGGTTTCTTGCCGGTACTTCGGTTTGACCGCAAATAACTGCTTCCAGGAGGGCATCATGAATGAAAATGTACTGGTCCTCAGTTTGAACCATGTAATTGCGTTGTGCTCTTAGACAAGTAACGTGTCCGTAGATATCGATAGATTTTTCATGTTTTATTCTTTCTAACATTGAGTCGATAACAATGAAACAACCGGTTCTTCCAACGCCGGCGGAACAATGCACTACAATCGGTCCAGCGTCGGATGGATTCATATTTCGAACTCTTCGTAAGAATTGTAAAAACGGCGCAGGGTGATCTGGAACGCCATGGTCTGGCCAAGCTGTAAATTGTAATTGTTTAATTTCACGTTTTTCCGAATATTTATCTCTTTGCAATTGAAAGGTTCGAATGCAATAAGTAGCCAATTCTTGGACATCCGTGATTGAAACGGTCATGGAACCATAAGTTTCCGCTCCTCTACTCGGCCAATATTGATCGCATTTTATCCGCGTTCTTTCTTCCAATTTAGTCATAACTACGATTGTTGCTGTTCTCAATTCCCAACACATTCTCCAGAAATCAGAAAAGGTGTGTGGTTGAGGACCTTGTGTGGCTACGTATGCATTGTGTTTTCTGTAACCATCACAATAATTCGCGTTGATGTAATCACTGCCAAGTATTCCATCTTCAGGTTGAAGAATTACACGACTATGATCGTAAGCGATTACGTTACCGTATCGATTTTTAGGTTTATTAATTTCCATTATTGAATGATCCCACGTAAATTGTTGACCTGGTTCTATACTTTCGTATTCTTGGGAGAATTTTTGATTATCATTTGCTTTTAGTTTCTCGATATGATTTGCTGTAACAAATGAGAATTAATTTTTTTTTAATAAATCTTTTATAAGTTACCTAATTCTCCAATAGGAATAGGTGGATGAGAAATCATTCCTGGTGTTTGGAAATTTAATCGCCTCATTTCAACTGGATCACTCGGTGCTGTACTATTATTAATATCCGCGGGAATAAGTGGTTTAGTAACAGCAGCTTGATCTGGAGTTTTACACGGTTGACGTCTCTTTCTGATAATAAACAATAATACCAAAATGATCGAAAAAACCGACGCAGCAATAATTGGACAAATAACCCATAAAATACCGGCTTCTTTTCGTTGATTAGTCACAATTGGGCCATTTGTGTCTGTTGATGTATTTGGATCGGGTCTAAGTGGGGGATCTCCAGGTGGAACTTCTCGCATATCCAAAGCTAAACTTTCTGAAAATGGACTACTTGTATACAAGTGTTTTTGTGGGGTATCAACAACAGCTCGCACAAAAATTCTGTATTTTTTCCCTCGCTCCAATTTTTTATTTTTGTATCCTTCGTATTCATCGTTAGCACCTAAATGGAATGTATATGGAATGTTTCTTTGTGGGAATTTCGCCGCTATGTAAGGAGTATTTACATTTTGACCCTTATTATTGATTAAATCTTCCGTTAAAAATTGATCAGGATGTTTATCGTTTGCTTTATCTTCAGGAACGACTATTAAATAATAATGACTAATCGGACCGTATTCTTCAGACGCTTGCGGAAGAATAACTTGGATTTCTTCAGCATTTAACACCCCATAAAAATCAGGTTGCACCATCGGTTGTGGTGCCGCCATTTGTGTAGTAACCGTAATTTTAGTCGGTGGACGATATGTATAATCACTTGGAATAGCACTCACATTAACGTTATAAGTAGTAAACGGGGATAAATCGTTTATAGTATGAGATTTAACGGTATGTTTTAAAGTAATTTCAACTTTCGGTATACTTTGAGTTTGCGTTATTCCTTGAGAGTCAACGAATTCTTTTATGGCGTCGTAAGAAATTTTATAATTGATCGGATTCAATCGAATCGGTGGTGACCAAGAAAGAGTCATTGAATGAGTCGTAACGTCGTGTGCTTTAAGGCTTAAAGGCACGTCTTCGGGTTTTACTTTAACCGTTACTTTTTCAGATAATCTACCTAGACCATTTTTAGTTCTTGCTGCTACAGCTACTGCATATTCAGCATATTTTTCTAAATTTATTAAATCCGCTGATTCTGTTAGGCCAACTGATTTTTGTTGCCATTCATCTAAATCTTCAACTGCAGTCATTGTATAAAAAATTTGATAACCTAAAACGAGATCAAATTTATTTATATTACAACTTAGGTTGAAAAGCATGATGACCAATTTCAAATTGATTATATAGGTATTTACTTACCTATAACTTTTCCTCTAGAAGGCACAGGTTCCCACCAAACTTCTACACTAGACTCACTAGTAGCAACAGCCCTTACTGACATTGGAGCTCGTCCAATATCTCTTTCAGTCTCAAAACTGATTTTTTCACTAAAGGGACCACTCCCTTGATTAGTATGCGCTTTTATATGAAAAACGTATTCCGTATTTTCTTCTAAATTAGTAAAAACCGCTTTAGTATTGGTAACATTTCGTTCAACAAAATTTCTATGATCCGACTTTTTATGAAATTGAATATCATATTTGATGATTCTCCCGTTTCGATGTTCGCGGGTTGGGGGATCCCACGTTATACAAACCACATCCGGAGTTTGAAATCGATAACTTATGTTCGTCGGTGGTCCAGTTGGTGGCCCTTCGGGTGTGTGCATTAATTTGATCGCCTCTTGACCGATACCGATGTGATTCAAACCGGCCACTCGAAATTCGTATTCAACGCCACGTTCCAGATCCTGTATTTTGTATTTATGCGTGCTGATTCCTTTTAAAGGTACTTCTTTTAACGTTTGATCTTTGACGCCGAATCTTAAACGATAGCCTAAAAGTTCTCCGTAGGTTTGTGTTGGTTTCGACCAATCTAGTTCGATAGTTACAGTTGGTTCCCTTTCAATCACCCTGTAAAAGTAAATAAAATAATTTTTTTTTAATTTTGATTTTGTATTATGTTACTTTAATGTTAAGCCCGGTCTATTTGGAACACCTCCTGGTGTTTTGACACTAACTGGTGCACTCCGATCTCCGTCGCCTTTTCTTGTTAAAGCAGCCACTTGGACTGAGTATTTTGTATCAGGTTGTAACCCGCTTATGTTTAATTCCAAGATGGAATCGCCGAGAACGTCGTAACGCATTGGTTCATTTAAAAGACTTTTTCCCTAAAAATGTTTGTTTTTTATAATAAATTGTGAAAATAATAGAAATAAGTACTTCTTCTTTAGTTTCTTGTACATGAACATGGTAACCGTGAATAATTCCATTTCTGTCTTTGGCAAGAGGTGGTTTCCACGTGACTCTAATAGTGGTTGAATTAACAGGTGCAACTTTAACATCTTGTGGATCACCAGGCACTGTGGAAATGTAACGTATAAATCATTACAATTTAGAACTAGAAGAATTCTTCATTTTCGTCATGCAATCAACCCATTCGGTTTAATTTAAAGGTATCTTTATTAAAAATAACATGTTTTTGCTTTTCCACCGTTTTAGTGAGGACATTTGAATACCAACACTTGTATAATGTACAAGATGAATAGTTACCTCATTCCAACGGCTAAACGTAACACACAATAAAATCTACTAATAATAATAATGGTAAGAATAATAAGTAAATCTACGCTTTCTTTTGTGGGAGTGTTTTTACTCTCATCCGGCTGCACATCCTGAAAGGTGTTTTAAACTATAAAAAAAGAAAATGGAAGCAAATCCTCAGAACCAACCTTTGTAGCTTGTTTAAACACGTTGAAAATAATATAAAAAAATTGTATGGTTTTTAAAAATCAAAAATAAAAACAATTTCTAATAAGATCTCTACCAACACACAAAAGGTTTTTATACTCACTTCGGTATACTGTGGAACACCATGTCAATGCAAAAAATTAAAAAAGAAAAATAGTAATGTAAGACTGTAGTTTGGACACACAGATAGTTTCAAAAAGCAGCACATTACACAAAAAATGTTGTTATCTTCGCTACAAAAATGCTTGTAGGTATTTTAAAAAATGCCTCAAAAATCTTCAAAAAAAAATTTGTTCATTTTATTGGTATATGTACCTTATTGTCCGGGCTAGGTTCGTGTAAAAAGAAAAAAATGTACTCACACACATGTACTGATTAAAAAAATCCTTCGAAAAAAAAATTACTGACTGACGTACAATGAGTACGCACTAAATGTTGAAGTTGATTGGCGATGGTGTAAAAAACAGTATAGAAAGGGGATGGAGATCTGAAAAAGTGTGTATATATCTTGTCTTTGGGGGTTTTCGTGTTAACACCCACGCACACCACAGTTGTCACTACTTTAGGGGTATTTGTATGGAAGGAATACTATTAGAATTTATTTAAAGTTTTAATCGAGTTAGGTTAATTTAAAAATATCATATCATGCAGATTGTAAGTTTTATTACATAACTGGGATATTATAATATTTATTAGTTACCACAAATTCATTAAGAAAACAAAAAATTAAATAAATTTGTCTAGCGCTGCATAACAATTAAAACTAGAATTAACACTAGACCTAGAACTAGAAAGTTTCGGGTTTAGCGGTACGTCGTCAGACGTATCATTTGGGTTTAGCACGTCTCTAAAGACGGCTAAACCCGAAACTTCTAGTTCTAGTGTTAATTCTAGTTTTACTAGTTATTCAATGCTAGATTGTTGTATATTTTTATATCATATTGTTGTATATTTTAGTACCCATATTAATCCGTTATATGGAGGTTTTACTATATTAATTCAATTAAGTAGTTCAAAATTAAGTGATTTCCCATTAAAGTTTTCGATTATAATTTTGAAAATGTTAAAATATTAATGAATTTGTGGTAAAGTTCATGCAATCTTATTCGATTCATTTATGCTTATTTTAATTTTAAGCTGATATGGATATAATGATGGAACATCAAATAGGATTGTATGCACCATACTTTGTCAAAACCACGATTAATTATTCCACGTAAGCAGCAATAACTACATAAAAAATATTATTCATTAGTAAGTATAGAAAAAAATTAACATAAATAAACATTTCTTTCTGATTAAATTACGTTAATAAGCAACACTTACATTTCTTGTAATATGATTTAAGGCTACCTGAAATAATTAAATCAATTCTATATAAAAGGAAATAAATTTAAAAATAATATCTCACATTTTTTTTTAGTTTACGAGGAAAATTTTCTGTTCTATGTTTTTCATAAATAGTTTTATAAAATTCACATAGATATAAAAAGGTAGGTAATAAACAAAACATGCTTTTAAGACTTATAAATAAATAAAAAAAATAGTTTTTGACCTACATAATACTAATAAATGTAGGTATTGGTATTCAAATGTAGAGCAATCATCACATTATATGATGCACACTCTAGAAAATTAGTGGCAATTTATGTAGTAAATTTGTTAATAAATTTGAAACAAACGCGCGCTCGCACACAAACACACTCTGACTTCAGACATACGAACACACGAAAAAGGTGCAAGTGTATTTTACACACACAGTGAGATATGATCATATTAGTGCCATATTAGTGCGCCATATCATTCTACTGTGAGTTTGTGCCGCCTAGCAAGGCTTTTGGTTCGAGGAGTTTTGAGGAAAAGAAGTCGTACCCAAACCCGGCTACGACTCCTTTTTTTAAAAAGGATTTCGTGATTAGGTTTATATGTTATAGAGAGATAATATGCATGCTAGGTGTAGTATCTAGAGTATTTTTTTAAAAAAAGTTGTGCAGAAAAACGAAAAGAAACCGGAAATCAACATACAAAAAAGTGCCCATTGTGGTGTAAAAAATGGTGCCATTGCAATGCATCTTTGTGCCAGTGAAAATCAATAAGCAATCATTACATGTGAACGTGAGTAGCTAAATAATTGACAAAGAAAAAACGAATAACGAAAAAATAAAAATGTACAAATTACTATTTTCCCATTATGAAATCGTCTTTACGCAGTAGAAAAAATATACATTTATAATGTATGTATAAAACGAAAAAAAATATATAAAAAAAAACGGTAAAGAGCAAAAATCGTTTAAAAAACCTCGTTAAGTCGGTCTCCTGCAAACGCTTTTGTAGACAGAAGAAAAAATTCATTAGGTTTACAAAAACATATTAAAAAATACAGTCAACAACAATCCATCGGGTCACGGAAAAAATTCAGGAGTGTCAAAAATGCTGCGGAAAATTTGTTTATTAAAAAAATTATTACGCAGGCTTCAAAAATCCTCCTGGGTTGGGCTGTAATAGTAAAAAAATTGTTGATAATCACATATCACTTTGGATATGTCAAAAATATGCTAATTGGAAATGAAACAGATATTTTCTTTCACTACAACAATCCACTTATTAAATATTTTCAAAATTCCTTTGTGAAACCAATACATATTAATAAACATGTGGTGTAATGGTTTAATTTTCAATAACTTTTATTATTAATTAATAAAAATTAAGCAACCTTAATTAATTAATAGATCTATAACTTCATGTGACAAAGCCGAGGCCGCAAGCGGCTGAGGCGTTACAATATGATGACAAGTTTCAAGTTGATATAGTGTTAATTACTGAGCCTCGGCCGCAAGCGACCTCGGCTTAATTACTCAACCTTACTTCATAAAACCGAGACCGCTTGAGGCCGAGGGGCCACAACATGACAACTAGTTTCAGGTTGCGATTTTTTTTTGGTGATACGTTAAGAAAGATGTATATAAACACAGACCATTTCGGAATATCAACCATCTTGAGATTATCATTAGGGAATGTGCAGGAAACATATCCCCTGCAATGTTAAAGATCCTATTTCGCGACATGAATAAATGAAGATTAAAAAATGAAACCTGTTAGGTAAAAAAAGCTTCATTTTTTAAACTGAATATACAAATTACCAAAATTAACGCTACTTTTATTGGTGCATTTTTTATTTAATGAAACTTATTTTACCGGTTGTTTAAAATAAAAAAAATATATATATATAGCAGAATTTTTTTCAAATCATGAAATGGCAGATAACCTTTTGAAGTCAAGAGCTTGATCGTGTTTGTTTTCGATATTATTTAATTTCCCAGAGTTGTTTCAAATTTTATATAAACTGCAATACCGATATTAAAACTTGAAACCTGTTACAAAAAATTAAAAACACAGCTTCGAACATTTTTGGTTATATCATATTTTAGCGTATTTACAATACAGAGATTTCCTCTTTGTGACTCATCCTAAACTATATTAACTAATGAAAATGTGTTATTGGTTACACAAACATAAAAAAATTTGTGGTTCTTTTAAAATATTATTTTCAACAAGTGGATTATCGCATGGATTTATCTGTGACATATGAACGAAATAACTAAACTAAACAATTTAACATTTAAGGATACGTTAGGTTAGGATTATACAGTAACTGGAATATCAGAGCCCATATTTTTCTTGACCTGCACCTGTATTGTTATATTTATATTTATTTAAGTTTGTTCTATATAATGAATCACATCGCTAAGGAATTTTAAAGAATCCTTAAATTACATTGTTGGAGTAATTTTAAAATTATTGTAAGTATAAAAAAATCCTTAGATGTGTGATTTAATCTCGAATTTGAAATACTTAATAAAATTTTGAATATCTCATTAATAATAACTTATTTTAATTAAATGAAATAAGAATGAGAACGTACCATCTTCGTGGGTGCGTATTGTGATCGGGTACGAGGACGGTCCGTCCCCTACCGAAGTTCCTGCTAATACCCAAATTCGATACTCGGTCCATCGCTTTAGTTCGTCAACAGTAAAGCTAGTATTGTTTAAGGTAATAATCGACGCCTCGCTATCCGATCGTCCGGCCTCGACGAATTGCAGCTTGTAGTAAATTATGTTGCCGTTACTTCGTTCAGCCGGCGGTGGTTCCCAGGAAACCCGGATCGACGTAGGACTTACCGCTTCGCCAGTCACATTGGTCGGTGGGGCGCCGGGTACTAGGGTGGCGTTAGCATTTTAATTTTTTAAAAGCCCAAAAGCACGATGGTCATTTATATTGTTCTTAGTGGATATTAAGAAGAGAACATTACTTTTAAATCACCTACAGATTTATTATTACTTATTATTCATTAAATAAACGCTCGTTAGTTTAACAATCATTAATACTTTTGGTCAAATTATGAAGATAACTGAAAAACTAACGAACGTTTTAGATTTTATTAAAATCAAAAAGAAAAATTTGAAAAAAAGAAATTTGTAAAATCATAAAACAAAACAAAAACTGAACATTATAAATGGTGCATTTACTTGGCACCTAAACATTCCGATTTAAATAATCAATAATAATATATATTATTATTGTATCATTAAAGCGATAGGTACTGTGATGCAGTGCTTATTGACACATTAATATCCACTGACAACTAAAATTACTACATGCAATGCATTTACAAGTAGATAATAATAATAAATAAAATGATAAAAAAGTGCACACTCCAAACGCACACGCAGACACTCTTTTTCTGGAAAAAACACCTCGCACCTTGCAGATCACTTTATGTTACTTTGCATCTTTTTAAAAGTTTTATTTAAAACTTGTCAAAAATGTCCAAAATTGACCAAATCCAAATCAAAAAAAAACCAACCCTTTTTTTACATCTTACCATACTGTTTCGTTCTCACTGGTATTGGTGGGGTTGTCGCGCCTTCCCCCCTTTGAGATCTCGCCGCTAACCATACGTAATACAACGTATTTGGATATAATCCCGTCAACGTATACGTTTCCGCTATTGGTATTCTTCTATGATGTTTTTCTTTTGCGTATGTATCGTTCCAATACAGCTCGTAACTTACGATACTTTCTCCGGAATGCACCGGCTTACTCCATTGTAATGTTACGGATGTTTCACCAATATCAGATGCTCTCAAATTGCTCGGTTGACTAGGAACACCTTCACGAAAAATAATAACGAAAAAAATAAACCATAAAATTAATATATTTAAGAAATAAATTAATACCTTGTTGTGTTTTGACATGTACTGGAGCACTTAATGGTCCTGGTCCAACAGATGTAAATCCTTGAACCCTGATAGTATAAATTGTATGAGGCGTAAGATCGCTGATTGTCGTAAGTCTGTTGTTATCGACGGTTTGAGTTTTCCATTGAGAAATTAATAAATTAGGTTCTTCCGTGTAATAAACTTTGTAGCCCTTAAATGTTTTATGGAATAAATTTATCTAATACAAAGAAATAAAACTTATAAATACAGTCACTTGTCCGTTTGGGGTTTCCGGTTCATCCCATTGTATAACCATGGTGCTAGAACTTAACGGTCGTACTTGAACGTTTCTTGGTGCCGTGCCTGGTGCTATATAAAGATAATTTTTAAACGGAATTAGAAATTAACGTTATTAATACGGACGGTTCTTTTAACTTACTAGCTCCTCCAAGAAAAGAGTCAGCTGGTAAAATATTTATGATGTCAGTATAAAGAAAATAAAAGAGTTTACTAATTTCTTCTAATTTGGAATTCTAAAGTACTTAAGAACAAATTACAACGGATACACATAACAAACATGGTGGACAATTTTCTACAACTATTTACTAATTAGATGGAGTAACGAGGGAAAATAGTGAAAATATTTATAAAGATATGGAAAATGAGCCTTACTCAGTTAATAATAGTAAATAAGAATCGAATTAGTTTATTTAACTTTGTGTTAAATTAGTTAAATTGAATTAAATTGGGAGAATTAATGTAATCATTCTCTATAAACTAATTAAACAAAGTTAGGCAAAAAAAATTAATCTATTAACAATCACAAAGTTTTCAAATTAGTTTACTTTCAAGATTTCGATTTTTCAGATTTATTGATCTGAACGTTCGATTCTCAACAGGTAACGAGATACAGAAAAAAAAGTCTATTTCATCTGCTTCCTGGAGGTGCTGCATCCATGGAATATGATATGGATGCAATCTCTGTCGACGCAATGTTCGCCATACTAATGGTTGAACTACGTTCCACCGACTGTAAAATGGCTTCCACTTCTCCAACAGCTTGTTCATTTCTGCATGCGGATAAAATCGTTCTGCTAGGAACTACGCCGATTTCACGAAGTGTACTGGAAACATCCGCAAACATTCGGAAATGGGATATCCTACGATTTCGTTACCTCATCAATCTGATGCTCGAATCGCAACTAATGCATACTCATTACACTACATCTATCACCTTTAAGTATCTGCGTCTCTTAATGTTGAAAATCGAATTTATAACTTTATATTAAGTTTTTTATTCCAAATTTGAAAAGAAAATCCAACTTGTACAAAAGATTACGATTTTGAATAAGATTTCCTACGTGGATACATTATATTTTTGTTATGTTTTTCCAATATATTTGCCCACTAAACTAATTTCAAGTTTGCTAACTATAATTTATGTTTGAAAAACTTTTATCAACCCGTCATTTTTGAAGAAACTTTTTGATTTGAAATTTTTCTGACAGTAAAAGCTTATTAGCTTTGAAATTAATATATGCATTAAAATAAAAATCTAGATTACTTAATTGAAACACTGAGCTTAATTCATTTTCCATGTATATTATAAAAAATTAAATGCTTTTCGTTTGTCTAACTAAAAGCTGCTCTAGTTGTGAGTCACACCATCAAAAAAAAACTTACATTTTATTTTTTAATCGTAAAATCCGTGACACAAAATCCATGAGAAAAAAAATTAAAAAGAAATGTATGAAAAGTTATGTGACGTTTAATAAAAAAAATGATCGTACTTTTCTTTTATTTCATAAATGAACTTTATTGGGGTGTATAAAATTTACCTTTTTCGCCGGTCGTTACTATGGCTGGTACACTAGGTGGTCCTCTGCCTATATTATTAACAGCTATCACGTACATTTCGTATTCGGTGTACGGACTTAGGTTTCTGACCGCATAATGGATCGAAATAATCCCCGATATCTCGCTATAGGCCTGGTTGGCATACTTGGGTTTAAATTGTATCACGTAATATTGGGGTTCTTCAGGTCCCTTGTACGACCACGTTAAACGCACTGAAGTTGCTGTTACTTCTGATATTTTTACGTTCGTTGGTGCTTCAGGTAATGCTACAAAAAAATTTATAATTAACATAATTTTTTAACTTTAATTTTAAATCCTTACATTCGACTTTAACCTGTGCAACGGCTTCGATTTCCCCTAACGAACTAGCAGCAATACAAGTGTAATTAGCGGACTCTTGAATATCGGTTAAGGGCAGTGTGCTAAGTCCTACAGGTAGATTGTCTTCGGGAGTTAAATCTTGAGCGGGTTCTTTGCGCCATTTTACGTAGGGCATTGGAGAACCAACAGCTACGCATGTCAGGTTTAAATCAGCCCCCAACATCACTTTTGTTAAACTTGGAGGTGGTTTTGAAAATTGTGGTGGAACTCGACGAACTAAAAAAAATAATGTTATCCAAAAATTGTTGTTTGAAATAAAATTAAAAAACCTTTAACGTAAAGCTGGGATGATTTAGAGTATTCTGTTCCGATAGAATTTTCAGCCACACATTCATATTTTCCTTGATCTTTTTCGTCACTGCTTTTAATTTGTAGCGAACCTTTAAATACATTATAAATCAAAATTATTCTTTAAATACACTCTCTGTTTTGTTTTTCTTTTGTTAAGTAAGGAGATTACTGCAAGGAGTTTCATGTTTCGATAAACGCTGTATCATGTAAATTTTCAAATCACGCGTTCACTGTAAAATATCAGTGTTCGGTAGCGATGACAGGTAATCCGCTCGACATGCTAGTCATGTGCGGTCCCATAATGCCCACATGTTTGGAGAATACCTGCATATTAAACTGGAGAGGATCAGGTGCATGATAACAGAAGAGGTACATCGAGGCAGCGAAGCGGGTTTGTGCAGAATGTGGAATATGCCTCGTGTTTTCGAGAAAACAGGATCGATACTTTTAGGGTATTATATTGAGTGTAATTGAGATAATTTAATTAGGAGTAAGCTTCATTTAATTTTTTATTTACATACCTGGTGAATCTTCTCTAATGTAATATCTAGGATTGTTTCTAGTGTCTATAGGAAGCATATTTCTGAGCCAAGTTATCCTGAGCGGAGTGTTTCCGGTGACGGTACATGAAAGGATGGCATTGTGGCCGACTTCTACTACTTTACTAGTCAGTGGATGTACAGATATAGTTGGAAACCCGTTTGGTAACTTTTCCGCTGAAACAATAAATCGAAAGAATAAAAAATAGGTTTTAACTTTTTCGTAGCTTCACTTTACATATTTTAAAGTGCTGTTACAAAGGATTTCTTTATCTGTTGTACGACTTAAAAAATAAAGTCGCAAAGGTGAAACTGTAGGGGAAAGAAAAATACGCGAATAAAACAAAGACCGAAAGAGTTTTCGGCACAGTAGCGGCTATATATTTATTTGCTTGCTTGTCTGTCCGTATTTTCCTGGTCGGGTGCCCGGCTGGCAAAACCTGTTAAGTCCGAGAACGAAGTAACGAATGGCGTCCCTTATCCTAGAACAATACTAGACTCCGTGTTCTCTGATTTATATTTTCAACAAGGTTGCTGTTGTTACCATGTTCTTGTTGAATTTCGTTTTAGAGAACAATTCATATATTTTAAGTTTTATCATCTAATATGTACTTATTTCTAATCAAAATAAAATAAATAAATCATGTTTTATCTAAACATAAATTGTTAATAGTCTGAAAGTGCGTAATAGAAGGAAGTTACTTCCATCGCGATGTTGGCGGAGGCGCCAGTGAAGTTGGTAGCAGAAGCGTTAAGAAATGTTCCGTCAGCCAACATGATTGCAATTATTTCACATTAAAGCTGTGGGCGCGAGGAATACCTCCGGAACGCAATATAAAAGCCCGAGATATATGGGGAGAATAAGTCTAAATTGCGGTAAACGTGAAATTTGCTTGCCTTTGTTTGCTGATTTATGGCGTCATTCCGGACAACTCTACTTAAATAGGGATCATTTTCTTTTCACCTCCGCTGAGGTTCCACTGGCAGTGCTCACCAAACAAAAAAAAATGGTGATAAATTGCGTCAAATAAACAACTTATCATCCGGGAGTTTTTATCGTTAAATACATTTTTATACTTTTAAAGATTATTAAACTACTATTAATTAAACATTTTATTAATTAAATTTATAGCATAAAAATAACTAAAATAAAAATGGAACCTTTTTATTCAAATTAATTTCAGTAGACATTTACGATGGTACATTCTCACTAAAACTGGTTAATTATCAAAAGTAGTCAGAGCTTTAACATAAAAAAGGAACCATAATACATTACAATAGCGTAATTTAAAGAGTTAGGAGAGGCATATTCTCAGGTTTAGCAATAATGAATGCACGGCATAAGCTTGTCATAAAATTTTATGGCGTTTAATATTTGACACGACAGAATTACGGCGCACGGCGTGGGTCGGGTTTATTAAATTCTGCGTATCGAGTCTACTACGGAATTTCACCTAAGTGAAAATGTGAAGTTATACTACACATTAACTCAACTGATTATAAAAATAGAAAATAAAATAATCATTTCATATGAAAATCATTGGATAATATGTTATGATTTAGAAATAAAACGAGAGAGTTTGAGATTAGTTGTGCGTTTATTGAAATGATGTTTGAAGTATATAAAATTTCTTGCAGCTCATGTAATCTGAATCCGGACAGAACAGCATCTTTTACGTGGAAAACCCGGAAGGCTATTGAAGCCCTACAACGGATAAGTAGGATTTATCCCAATCCCTGTGATTGAAAATACTCGAATATTTAGGATAACAAACACAAAAGCAAAAGGATAAATTACTAGTGGATTTTGTGGTCCATACAAAATCTAGATAATATCTGATTTTAGTACCTAATTGGGGTTCTAAGAAAAAGGTTTTCATAATGATTAGAATTATTCATAATTAGAATATAACAAATTAATTAGCCATTTAAAAAAATTGATCCCTAATACAAAACAGACATGAATCACTAAAGAAAATTGGTAAAATTGAAATCTGTTATGTATGATTATTATTTTGAAATAAGTACGATACTACCATCCATGTTGCAAGTAATAGTATATTAAAAAACAAGTTTCGTAAGACACGTTTGAAATGCACGAATTCAAGTTGAAAAACGAGTGGCAAAGCCACGAGTTTTTTAATGAATGAGTGCTTTAAGTCTTATGAAACGTGTTTTTTATGCTATTTTTTGTAATTCGCGTTCTTATCCTTCTTTTTTTCTCAAAAATAAAATAAATTTTGACAATGTAGGGAAATAGGTATGTAGCAGTTGGTAACAACGTAACACTTGAAAATATAGAAATTTGAATGACAAATAGAAACTGTCAAAACACAAAACGTATTCACCTGATAAAAATGTTTCATGTACACCTCCCAAAATAAGAGAAATTGCTCAGAGTTCAATGTCCTCATCATTGTGGACCTTGTATTCGATGTTAAGAACGTGTTTAAACATCCATAGACAAACATTGTCACATTGACAACTAGAAAAATTAATGACCCAATGTCACCAACTTGAACTGATTCCATAAAATGTTACTAAAATCTCATTACAGCATCGGATGCTGTAAAGAGTGTCATTACAGCACCCGTTTGAGTACTGTAATAGCTTTCATTACCGTCGCGAATTACAAAAAAAGTATAATACGTTACAGTTTTATTTAACGATTTTAATTTTAAAGTTTTACGTTAATCCAGATAGTTTCGCTTACGGTTGAACTTAAGAAAAATATAATTAACTTAGAAGGTGGTGCATAGTTTTGCACTTCTCTCCTCTAAGTAGACTCCAGATAATGTAACTTTCTTAGCAACTAAGTATTTCAAATACGAAGGGGTTTAAATAAAAAAAAATTTTTTGCAGCAATAACAATAATAAAATGTTGGTTAAAGTTCAGTGGAGTAATTTAATTTTGTCCATAAATAAGGCATACATTTCAATTAATATTGCACAAGTTTTCTTAAATCATGAAATTGCACAAATATGTGTTTAGTCTTTGTAAATTGAATATGTTGGTGGGAAATACTAAAAAGACTCGCAGCACTACGCTTACTTTCATTAATACAAATTGTTTTTACTATTAAAATGCTATTTCAGTACATACATTTTCGTGTAATGAACACAAATGGTTTTACCATTATGAAGCTATTACAATTACTTTGATTAATTTGATAGGACCATATTAAAGAATATTTGGGTTTTAAAGAATAATAGAATTAAATGGTAAAACCATTTGGAAAAAACGCAAAAGGAAAACGAATTGGTACCATTAAGAAACTAAACATTTTAAATGAAGTTAAATTTTTAAACATTTCGGTTGGAGGCGAGAAAGCAGGGAGAATGGTGGCGGCTCTTTGATAGCAATGCATTACAAAAGCGAGAGGGCAGGCGTCTTTTCGTATAGTGTAACCGCATCAGGTAGAGAATCCAGTTAAACGTTTGCCGTAAATTCGTTTATAAGTAAAATAAATAGCGGTTGCCTTATGAAAGTGCGCGGGCGCGCAACACCTTAAAGAATTAAGCGACGCAATAAATCCCGGCTTATTTATTGTACATCGCGACACGAACAAGGGGTAAACAGGGACGGGAACTGTAGTCCTTCAGGTACATTCTACAGAGAAACGTAGTTGGAAGGTACAGGAGAGAGAGAGAGAACGAAGAGGGTGCCGGTGAATAAGGACCTCCCTTTAATTTTAGGAACAAATCCAGAGACCCGCAAAGCACCGCAGGTCGGTCGTCTGCGAGTGTCATGTTGATAGACTATTGTGCGGTTACAATAGGTTTATCACGGCCTATTGTCATTGGGACCTCTTTGTATCTAACTTGGCCAGCGTTTGGCTTTAGCTCTGGCCGACTGTAACGTTTGCTTTGAACTGTGGTGCTGCAGGCCACCGCGACGACGGCTACGGCAACGGAGGCGGCGATACAAATCACCGGTTGCGAAATCTTTGGCTGCCCTCCGAGGTTTCTCCGTCGACTCCTGCTATTGTCGTCCAGAATTATAACCCAAATGATTTAACCCCCTGTTATATTATGCTATTATTTATGGGAAAATTAATAGCAAATGAATGAAAATACAAAGATTAAAAAATTATTTTGCATAAACGGAGAAAAACAAAATGTTGAACATGCCTAACTTATTCCTAAATAGTCAAAGTAACACTTGGTAATTAACAACGTTTGCAAATATGCACCGATAGATATCTGATTATACTGATTAAGCAGGAGAAGTCCATAAGAGATGTCAAATATGTCCTAAAAAGTGTCATTTTCTGTATTGGTAAAAATTAGTCAATTTCTTCCAATCTGTATATGTTTAAATCATTCAAGGATTAACTATTCCTTTTACGTTTATTATTTTTGCCCTAGAAATGGTACTGACTCTGATTAATTACACAAGCAGAAACTCGGACTCGAAGTTGTCGTGACAACATGGGCGTATTTGATGCAGATCTGGCATCTGTAAGTGATTGTCGGTCGAAGAAGTGCCCATCGTTTCCTTAATTACTCGGCTTATCGGCTGGGGATAATTTAATCAGAATGATATAATGGTTGGAGAGGCAAAACCCGAGTAAACGCGCCGATCCGGTCAAAACCGTAAGCTATCGTCCTTATTAGGCGCACCGGTATACACAACCGTGATAAATAGTTCTAAGCCTCCTCGAGAGATGCCAACTGCAAGAAATTTAATTAACTGCTCGGGCTCGATACTTGCTAAGATCGTGATTAATTGAGTTCCCCCTCTAGTTAGGAATAATAAGTATTAGAAAAATTTTACTGTGAAAATTAGAATTTCGAATTTATTATAAAAATGTATTTTGGTGAAAATAACTGTAAAATAAAAATTCCGTGCACCGATTTACGGCCGGTAAATTTTTAGACTAGGCTTTATTGCCTCGTTTCTATTCGACCGAATCGTTTTAGTAAAACTGCAGGGGAATTTAAAGCACGTAATAGAACGGACGAATAGGTACGCATTCGTCGCAAAAAGTTGAAACTGATGCAGAATCGCGTAGCTGCCGTATCCGCTATAGAAATGGCTTTAATTTGGACATGAAAAATTTACAACATGAAACAGCCGCCACCAGTTTTATCGTTTCATTAAACCGCGAGAAATGAAATATCAGAAACGTCTCTATTACGTATATCGTTAAAATTGAAATCAAATCCAATCGATA